TCAATTAACAGAGTATGTTCGTTCACCATAATGGTAGTAAAAATATGGTTGTAATCAAGAAAGACTTACAAAATCTAGTAGACTGCATTGTACGAGTCAAAAACAAAAAAGGCTAAGTAGTATTTAAAAACAATGTTCTTGTGTCAAAAAGCTCTGTGTTTGAGTGTACTTACCAAGTCCCAACAATACGACTTGTGTTTGCTTCAAGTCCATCTTTTGCGAAGATTCTTGCCAGCGTCCAGCAAGATGTTGCTAGCTTTCAAGTCTCTATGATTAATTGTAAATCTAGAGTATTCTTGAAGATACAAAAGCCCTTGAGTAACCCCTTCAATGATCTCGACACGTTTTCTCCAGTCCAATAAAAACTTTCTAAGCGGGTCTGGATCATAAGAGGTTATAAGCAGTCAGTTAAATATATAACCAGACAGAATCTAACTCAAAACACAAAAATTATAAGAGAAATCGCATGAATGTTCAACTGCAAATTGTCATCAATATCTACTTAGGAACTGTATTTTAAGCAAAAACAAGATCGGGGCAGACCATAAAGGTTGTGGTCCAGGCTCTTATTTGGCAAGTACTCATAGATCAGCATATGTTCTTCTCTATCCATGCAGAATCCCAAAAGTCTGACAAGATTTACATGCTGTAACTTAGCTGTAAGCATAACCTCATTCTTGAACTCCTCAAACCCTTTATTAGACGTTTTTGAGAGTTTCTTCACTGCTATTTCTTGACCATCTGGCAGCACGCCCTGGAAAAAATAGAATCCCATTTTCATTGCTTTTACATGACCAATACAGCAATATTGCTTTGTCTTGCCAATTAGAATAGCCTTGCATTACCTTGTACACTGGACCATATCCACCCTCCCCAAACTTGTTTTCAAGTAAAAATCCATCCGTAGCCACCTCAATAGCAGAGAAAGCATATACTGTCAGATTAGGAACATCGTTATTAAAATTGCCATTAGCTGCTGTATCATTAGGTTTGGACTTCGATTCTTTAGCTGGTTTCTTTTGCACCATATCTATAGATCAGCCAAAACAAAAGAACGAGAAGCCCTTTGTTAGATTCCCAGAAAATATTTCATTATGTTAGTTAGGATTCGGGTATTGAGATTTGAGTTGAATTTTACTATTGTCAAACATGTAGTACTAAAAGTAATTCAGAAAGAGTAACCTTTTGACTTGCTCTTTGTTGTTCGAAAGTAATAACTCACAACGCCAAGCAGAACTACAACCGCAACAATTGGAATCAAAATACCTAGAATCAACGGCAGTCTGTTCTTTCTTCTGTTTCCAATGGAATTTGCTGACAAAGATTAAGGAAACTTGTCAGGAACATTTACGATTTTTTTTTATTATTTTTGAAATTCTTCTCGTTCTAGTTTTCTTAATTAACCCATTTTGTTTCCATGTCATGCCAGCTTGGTAGCCAGTATCTTCCTTATCACAAAATTATCTAATGGATATTACGAGATAAAAAGGTGAAAATCTTATGATTAATTCATAATCCATAGATATTTATATTCAGTTTGATGAACTAAATCTAATTTTCTATAGTTAGAACAATAGCTCTCAAAATGGGTTATATAAGCATTAAATTGCGAGCTTCATGTTGTGATTGGAAAGAGGGAGATAATTATTGCATTGGTTGGAAAGCGTAAAGCATAGTTTCTTACCAGCTTGAGAAAGCACCCAATTGTCATCATTGGGAACTCTCCAGACAACATAACTCAGAAGCTTCTTCTCCTTGGCATATTTAACCTTGGTCTTCACAGCCTGAACATCATCAAAACAGATCCAGGTTGCCCCGACCGTGCAGTAATTCACCACGTAAGTCGCATTGTATTCAGTGTTTGCACCACGTTCCTGAATGTATTTCCTAACGTCTTTATAGCTCATGTCTCCATCGTTTGTCTCAGATGGCCCATTAGCTGTCCTAATAGCTGGCCCATTTGCTCTTGCACCAATAGCATTCTTTACAGGATTTGCCAGCGTCCACGCGTAGCCATAGAAAGGCAAACTCAGCACGATTTTGGTAGCTGGAAGTCCACTATTAATCCATTCCCCAATACCATAATCTGTGTCTACATTACTATCAGGATCATATAAAGCTGCATGAGCTCCGGTGAGCCTATCCCGAAGAGGAGTATGGTAGTCATAAGCCATAACATGTACCCAATTCAAGTTTTCCTTTATTGAGTCTATTGGAAAACTAAGCGACTCTAATATATGGGGTGAGTATGGAACTGACGCAGTCAAGATCAACTGAGACTGGCTAAGGTTTCTTGTCTCTGAATCTATTGCAGCTCTCCATTCTTCATAGAGAGTAGCCATATTGCTAATAGCAGAGCTTGTCTCAACTGAAACCCAGCTAAAGTCTAAGCCCTCGAAGTGATAAAGCCTAGCTACTTTTACTGAGGAATCAATGAAAGATTTCCTGCGGGAAGAATTGCTTACCATTGAAGAAAAGTCTGCATTTCCACCGCCGACGGATAGAAGCGTGGTAAATGGTGATTGATGGGTTTTTCTGCTTGACAGTGTTTGTGAAATCAGAAAAGTATTGTTCATTAGCCGAGGAAATGGAAAGCTGGAAAGAGGAGGAGTTTAGATCAGCAAAGGCACAAATAAGGTGAGTATAGAGATCTGTGTTTATGTCAGCAAGGGGGAATTCATCGCCAAGGAAGTAACCAGCTTTGATCCAGGTCTGTGCTTTCGTAGGATGCAACACTAGACAGAGAAAAATGTATAAAAGAACAGTTATAATTTTGTAAACCATGGCGATGTTGTTTCTTTTTGTAGAGGTAGGATCTACACAGCACTACATATTAAAAATCAAGTGTGATGAACAGAGCAAGAGAAGGTAAATTTTTATGGCAGTTGGCTTCTACTTCTGATATGCATTTAGTACATATACATAGCAAAGAGTTAACAAACAAGCTTTGATCAAGTCTGCAGCTGTCATAATTGAAAAAATAACTAGGAATAGACTTTTGGTTAATAGCATGACTTGAGAGGGTCCTCAATGCAAGTCTTAATTGAACAGGCGATTACCTAGTTGATCTTTGCTACTAGATGTTCTAGATATACTTGGAATAAAAGCTTGAAACAAAATAATGCTACAAAGTAACAAGGCGAGCGTAAAAGAAACAAAAGGCGCTGGAAGCAAATATCAGCTTGGAATCAGAACTCTCTCTACTTTAGAAAAGTCGTATTGTAACTAGTATTTTTTGCTCAGCTGCAAGACTAGTTTTGCTTGGATGACTTAGAAAACCATACACCGAACCATGCGCACAAGTCGAAGGAGATCACATCCACAATTACTTCGGTGTAATGCACACCAACTTAGCACAGAGGGTCGGTTAGGTGGGATAGGGGCAGAAGTCAGAGCAAACACAGGCTTCATTTCCGGTTCATTTTTCCTTTTCATTTGCAGTATCAACCTCAGCTGCTTCGACTTGGCGAAGTTTATTCAATAATCCATTATGAATAATTACTTGAAGTTTTCTATTATTTTGACGTGAGCGAGATTTAGTGGTTTGGGCTCAGCGAGCCTCATTGCACCGCGGGCCTAAAGAGGAATGTAGATACTGCCTCCCGAAGACCACAAAGGATTGATTTTCCCTCGTTTAAATTCTTGATTAAATTTTATAAGTAGTTCTTATATTTTATAAAAAAAATATAAATTTAATCCATATATAATAATTTGTACGTAAATTGAGTTTTTGTAGTTTGTAACTTTGTTAATTTCACCTCTTAACTCTATCACTGTTAAATTTCACCCTTAGTATGCTATTGTGGTATTAATTGAAGTGATGTGACATTGATAATATGATGTCGTGTTGATTATGCATCAATATAATTAGCATTATACTGATGTGGTATTTGTTGACGTGACAAATACGTTAACATGACAAAGCGTTGAGTTTAACAAAAAAAATTAAAAAAACACCTTAACCTTAAATTGAATAAGATTAAAATAAAAATTAAGAAAAAAGGATCAAGAGAGGGAGAATTGTCTTTGGTTTTGAATTTAGAATTGAAGATAGGGAAAATAATGCATTTTTCAAAAGTTAATGGGCTTTCCTTTTTAAGGTTTAGTATTTTTCCTTTGAAGATTCAACTAGTGTTGCAAACTTAACTCAATTAGGACAATTAGATAAGGCTTTTTTTTTATAATTGAGGGAGGAGGGATTTGAATCCTACTCTTTAAGCAGGGGATAATGCATCAATTAATGAACTAAATACTCGAATGCAGATAATTAGGTAAGCTTCTTAGGCTAGCTAATCAATTAAATTTAAATGAGAGGGGTGTAGCTTTAGGCTCTGTAAGACACCAATCTTCTCTGTCCAGAAGGTGAGCTTGATTTTGACATGGTACGAGATGACAATGATTTTTTGTTACGATGACTTGACGGCAAGATATTAAGAGATCTAAAATGAAAGGCCTTTGTATGGGAAGCGTTGATCATCTATTCAAGAACCATGACCAAATTTTAACCCCTCATGTATGGCAGGTCGTTTATCTCTAAGGCTAAGAATTCGAATAAGACTTTGGCTCTAACTATCAATCGGGTTGCAAGAAACACTTCTACTTCTATGTTGATCACCTATAGGCCTTCTTTACCATGTGGTTTAGCTCAATAGAAAATAAAATAGAAATTTTGAAAGAAGAAATATGATGTTTTTTTTAAAAATAGTAGTTGTAAAGTTTTTTTCAATTTTGTTTCTTTAATTAAGTAATTATTCATGTTAACATGATCATGTTCCATTATCATTTAGTCAATATTATATTAGCAAGAAGTGATTCATTAGTTTAATCAAAATGTTATGTTAACATACTTAACGGTGTGTTAGAGTTATTGTATAAAAATTAAAGTTACATTTTTTTTAATAAATTAAGTATATTGTCATTCACCACATTCAACAGTAACTATCTATCCCCATACTTCCAACGGACCACATGTGGAAGGAAGATATACATGAGAATGAAGAAGCATTAAAATCAAAATATTACCGGAAGATTGCATGAGACCAACAATTCCGTGAATCAAAAGCTTGAAACAACAGCAATGGCTAAATCTTTGATAAACTAATATTACCTTATCGAGTCATTTAGTAGTGAACAATATTTTTAACGACAAATGTCATCGACCGACCACTTGTGTAATCGGAGAAGTATCGATTGAACATATTTCTAGTTGCAAGCTAGATTTCTTTTGCTCATCTTCGCTGTGTTTTGTTGAGAAAGCAGGTCTTTTCGGAATGGCGACTGCTGTGGTTTCATTTCTAAGCATTGCAGAGACTTCCAACATGGTAGGCCTGTCGTTTGCGTTTTCCTGGACACACAACAGAGCTATTTGCATGCATCTCAGTAACTTGCAGGATGAAGTTGTGTCATCCAGCGTGGGATCCATGAATTCCATGCCTTTGCCTTCTGTCCATAGCTCATGTGCCTGAGGTTCATTTAAGCATTATCACCCTCTAATTTCACAAAATAATAGAAAGGGTGTAGAGATATATGTATGTTAGCAATGACACTTACGAAATCAAGAAGACTTAAATTTTCATGTAAGCCATGTAAATGTGCACTCCTCTTTCCACTTATGATTTGAAGAAGTAGGACCCCGAAGCTATACACATCAGATTTGGTGGAGTATATACCTTTTTTAACATATTCAGGAGGAACATAACCACTGCAGCAAAACGCCTAAAAGTGGTTAACAATAATAAACTTCATATGTTGAAATAGCTTCGATTTAAATGCACTTACTATGTGCCAACAATTCGGCCTGTGTTTGCTTCAACTTCATCTTTTGTGAAAATTCTAGCCATACCGAAGTCTGATATCTTAGGTTTCATGTCTTCATCTAATAAAATGTTGCTAGCTTTCAGGTCTCTATGAATAATTGTCAATCTGGAGTATTCTTGAAGATATAGAAGCCCTTGAGTAACCCCCTCAATGATTTCAACACGTTTTTTCCAATCCAACAAATGCCGCCTTATGGGGTCTGCATCTCAGCATAGATTACGAGCAGTCAGTGAACAATCATTCTGAGCCTAAGTAAATAAAGTTCAATGCAAGTCATCAACGAAAAATGCTTATGTATTGTTATTGGAAGAAAGATAGATTTAGCTGCCAACCATAAAGGTAGCTGTCCAAACTCTTATTTGGCATGTAGTCATAGACCAGCATCTGTTCTTCTCTGTCAATGCAGAATCCCAAAAGTCTAACAAGATTTACATGCTGTAGTTTTGCTGTAAGCATAACCTCATTTTTAAACTCCTCAAATCCTTGTGTGGAAGCTTTTGAAAGTTTCTTTACTGCTATTTCTTGCCCATCTGGTAACACACCCTGGCAAAGGAGGAACTATTGTTAGTCCCTTTTAAATGATGGGCAGAACCTATCAATATTTCCCATGTCTTTATAGCTAGTGTCCTGGCAAAATGCAATGTGATTTCCAAAGCTTTACACCAATATAGCTAGATTAGCCTAGCTAGCATTACCTTGTAAACAGGACCATATCCACCTTCCCCTAGCTTATTTTCAAATGAGAACCTATCAGTAGCCACCTCAACATCAGAGAAAGTATAGACCATTAGATTGGGAACATTGCTATTAAAATCTCCAGCAGCTGCCATGTGATTTGCTTTGTACTTGAATTTCTTAGCTACGTGCACCATCCCTATCAACCAACCAAAAGAGTGAGGAAACTGCTTTTGGTTAACTACATTTGAAATAGGATTTAAACAGGAAAAAATAAATAAAGGAGGAAAAAGGGAATTTTTTTAAAATGAAAGTTCCCTGGTCAATGATGCTGCTAAGTGCTAAGTCGAAACAATTACCTCCCTTTTTCCTCTTTACCCTTCGAAAGTAGTATGTCAACACGCCAAGCAAAATCATGACCAAAGCAATTGGAATTAAAATACTGATCAGGAACAACCGCCCTTTTTTCTGTCGATTGCCACCGTTGGCATAAGCTGATGCAGAAAAAAGAAGCATATCAGGAAAGTTCTTTGAAAACATTGTCATATGTTTGATGTTTATCTCTTGGCTTCTTTAGATTTTATCTTTCTTAATTAACTAATTTTGTTGTCCTTGTCATGCCAGCTCGGTGAACCCTCCCTTCCAAATATTTTCCATGGCAGTACTCCCTTTGGATTCTTATGTGCCAAACAATAAGTCAAATGACCTGAGAAATCCTAAACCTTAAGGAGACGTATGACAAGGACTAATTTATAGTCGGGACGTTTTGGCTAAACTTTCAGAATTAAATTTTAATAGATGCTCTGCATTTTAAATTACCCTGTCTGGTTTTCCTTAACTGATCAGGTTATTGAAGATAAGCTCGCTAAGACATTGAATTCTTAATACGTATGCAGAAGAAGATAGAATTGGTTGAAAAGAGTGAAGCATCCTGTTTCGTACCAGTTTGGGAAAGCACCCAGTTGTCATCATAGGGAACTTGCCAGACAACGTAACCCAGCAACTTCTTTTCTCTGGCATAGGAAACTTTAATCTTGACAACCTCGACATCATCAAAACCAATCCAGGTCGATCCAACTGTGCAGTAATCCACTACATAAGTAGCATTATACACTGAATTGGCTCCATATCTTTGTATGTAATTCATGATGTCCTTGTAGATCACCTCTCCATCGTTTGAAATAGCTGGACCTGACGCCGGTGCGCCAATGATGTTATCCTTGGGATTCACAAGTTTCCACGCATAGCCATAGAAAGGCAAGCTCAAAACCAATTTACTGGCTGGTAATCCCCCATTAATCCATGACTCTATACCAAAATCTGCATTAACATTACTGGCTGGGTCATACAAAGCTGCATGAGCCCTCGTAAAGTTTTCCCTTGTTGGCATGTAGAAGTCATAAGCCATAACATGCAGCCAGTTTAAGTTTCTCCTCAATGAATCCACAGGAAAAATTGACGACTCTGAATATTGCGAGTATGGAACTGCCGCAGTCAGTATCAACTGAGACTGGCTAGAGTTTCTTGTCTCTGAATCTATTGCAGATCGCCATTCGTCAAAGAGGGTAGCCATATTGCTCATATCAGAACTTGTGTTGGCTGAAACCCAGCTAAAGTCTAGGCCTTGAAAGCCATAAAGCCTAGCCAATTTTATTGAGGAATCAACGAAAGATTTCCTGCTGGAAGAATTGCTTACCATCGAAACTAGGACCGAATGGTTTGCACTTCCACCACCAATGGATAAAAGCGTGGTGACTGCTGGGTTTTTCCGTTTGACAGTGTCTGTGAAAACGGAGAAGTATTGGTCATCAGAAGAAGAAATAGAGAGCTGATAGGAAGAGGAATTCAGACCAGCAAAAGCGCAAATAAGGTGGGTAAAGAGTGCAGAATTTATTTCAGCAGCGGGGAATTCACTGCCTGAAAACCAGTATCCAGCTTGTATCCAGTTCTGTGCCGTTGACGGATGAAATCCTAAAGAGAGGAAAATATGGAGAAGAACTATCACAAATTTAGGTACCATGGAGGAAACTTGCAGGTCGATGCCTTCCTACTAGAGTTTGGATCTAATTAAAAGGTGAAATTCCGTTGACCATATACATAAAAGTACAAAGGCAAATGGTCAGAACATATGATCACATGCATCTCAGATTTCATGGATAAAAAAATTAACAGCACTAGGCAGAAGGATTTCTCCCAACCAGAAATATGGCATGTAAAGCCAAAAGCAGAAACTGTACCCTCAGGATTCACACATCTTTTTCATGAGATCGTAACTTAGAAAAATACTGATGGGAAAGACTCACCCGTGGAAATTTACAATGGAATGCGTTATAATTTTCGGAGATAGAACCAGTTAACAATGAACATATACAGTTTAGTCAGAAAGTCCACAAGCTTGCCTCAGAGGAAAAGATGCCGGTATTTGACCGGAGAACTCGTTCGTGGCCTGGACCTTTTGTTGCGTTCGTACTAGCTCTTGGCAGAAACGAAGGCAGATCTTAATCCATGTTTTGTCTTTGTCACAACTCTGGTTCAGCTACATGTATGAATTGCAGTGCACGACAAGTTTTATCCCATGGCCTGCCCCTTGACCCTTGTGCTGCCTTGATTATCTTAGGCATATAGCCTAACGGATGCGTTGTGTAGAAATCATAAATGTCTTTCAACCAATCAACTTCTAGTTAAGATATTTAATTAAGAATTAGATAATTAGCTTAATTTACATAATTAACTAGCCGAATGACATCCCAAATTCCCAATAGTAGTAACAAGAAAGATACAATCCACTTTGGCTATGGGGAAACCCTTGTTTAATCATTCACTAAACATGAAGTTTCACGTTTTAGTTTCACAGAAGGAGAGATTACACCCCTTATGCATCGAATAAAAAATTATTTTGATTTGATATTACTTTTTTGTTTTTTTTTTATATGTTGAGTGTTCGATTATCATTTTGTCAGACATTTGGATTTTCTATAATCATTATATCATCTTGATATAAATAAAATTTCTTCCAAAAAAATGATTTGTTTGACTTATGAGATGGTCATAGTTGTGGGAACCAAATTAAGTAAAAGCAATTTAATTAATATTATGAATTTCTCCCATCATAGTTTGTGAATTTCAGGTGGGAAACTGACCAAAAATCTTTGAGGAATTTATCTTCTGATCAATCTTTATAGTATGCCTAATGTCATTGTCAAGTGCAACCCATTTCTTCTATGTTACACAAATATATGTTTCAATTGTATGATTCTTTCTTTAATTATGCACATGGAAATGGTCCAACCGATAGTGATTCTTTTTTATTTTTTGGTGTAAATAATGGATAAGGTTCCACTCGATCAAGTTTTTTTTTTTTTTTTGCTTGGTTAAAATGGGAAGTGAAAGTAGTCATTAATTTGTGCTTAATTATCAGCTGGTGCCAATAGTTGAAAACTACTATGTTTTCTTGAAGTTTTGTCTACTATATTTCATTAGCAAACAGGAAATTACCATCATTATTTTTATTTAGGGCCTTCAATTACAAATGGCATAAACAAGAAGGATCATCATATTTCCATAACTCGTATCATTAAATTACACCATGGGCAGGCAATTGACGTCTATGATCCCCATGTTTCCGATGCTGTACAAAAGAACAAAGAAGAGGCACGTAATTAGGACTAAGAAAACTTGAAATATAAGCAAAACTTAACAGTTCTGATTGAGAAGCATGTTGATTATCAAAGTATTAGGAAAGTCTGATCAGAATGAGTCATGACTGACCTGCTTGAGAAAGAGTCCAACCATCATCGGCACCAACATGCCATGCGAAGTAACCGAGCAAACCATTGTCCTTGGCGTACGAAACCTTGGTTGTAATACTTTGCGTATCATCGAAACCAATCCATGTCGTGCCAGAGTAGCAGTAATTGGAAACCACTGTTGAGTTGTAAACTTCTGTGGCGCTGTTCTGGGAAATGAAATCCTTGATCTGACCGTAACCCAAGTCTCCATCTTGTGATATAGCTGGTCCGCTGGTAGGTGCAAAAAATCCATGGTTATTTGCGTCTACAAGCCGCCAGGCGTAGCCGTAGAAGGGAAAGCCGAGCACTAATTTATTCGATGGAATCCCTGCTTGAATCCATGATCTGATCCCCTGATCCCCACTTACTTGAGTTCCAGGATTGTATAATGCTGCAGGAGGTCCGGTTACATTTGACCATCTGGGACCGTAAAAATCATAAGCCATCACATTGATCCAATCCAAGCTGTTTTCTATAGCCTGGATTGGATAATCCAGAGTGTAGTAATCCGAGGACCGGAAAAGTGCGGCGGATAGAAGCAATGGTGAGGTACCGGTGCTGGCGGATTCATCATCCACAGAAGCTCTCCATTCATTGAGAAGCAAACCCAAGTTAGTCATTTCGGTAGCTGTGGATGGGTACTCCCAATCAAGGTCAAGGCCATGGAAGCCATAAGACCTTGCTAAGTTTATCGAGGAATCAATGAATGATTTCCGTGTAGTGGCTTGGCTTGCCATGGAAGCAAAATCTGACGCCCTTGAATTTCCACCCCCGATTGACAAGAGTGTTACAATGGAAGGATTCTTTTGTTGGACGGTATCAGTGAAGGTGGAGAATCGGGGCTGATTTGCAGAAGAAACAGTAACTTGATTGGTTTGAGGATCAAGATCAGCGAACGCACAGAAAAGGTGAGTGAAAAGCGAGGAATCTATATCCGAAACAGGAAACTCACTTCCTGCAGACCAATAAGCAGCTCTAACAACATTCTGCCCGGTGGAAGATTGCAGTCGAAACAGAAAATGGAAGGTGATCAAAAGCAAGAAGCTAACAAGTTTTGCAGCCATTGCAAAAGTAGCAAATGCACCTTGCCTGGTATAACAACTAGCTTGGACACCTCCAAATATATATAGGGGCCGATGCTTGAATATGACTTCTGAAAGCTCATTCAATTCCTTCAATTCATGCCCTTCTGTCGTGGCAATTGACCCTGACAACTTGAGAAGATAAATTCTGGCCAAACCTTTTACAAATCCCACTTACGCAAGGTACTGAATATTCAAGAACAGATATCCAAAGGCAAGTCTCGCAAAAGCTTGCTTGGCTAAGTCTGTTGGGCGTCTGATGCAATTTGGATAATTGAGAGTAAAACACCATTAATTGAAGGAAGCGGTCGGAACATTCCACTGACCAACTTGCCATCTCCAGTCAAAAATATCAATTATATTTATGTAGGAAATTGGTCAAACATACCAAAATGGGACAACCTACGATGCTAGGCTTTTATTCTCGGACAAGTTAAAGCCCTGTTCCTTTGCCTAAACAGTTATGTGACTTTCGAAACCGGACAAGAGATTAACTAAATGGGCAACTAAAAATGTTTATTTCTTCTCATTTGACCAGAGGTTATCCTTAGCCCACAGATATGGGTTAATGGGGCTTATTAGCATAGAATCTAATACTTCTTCCTAAACATTGTTGACATTTGGATGATTTAAATGGTCAATTTAATTAGTAAAGTCAATTTGATAATATCTGAGTGCCAATTTATGGTTTTTTTTTTCAATTAGTATTTCGATTAACATATTACATATAACTTTTGTTTTTACAAAAAATTTGATTATTAATTTTATTCAACAAAATTATGAAATTACTCTTAAATATAAACAAATATGTTGATTTTAAATCGAGTATTTTATTAATTTTTTTGATAAATTTAATAATTTAATCCGTTATTGGAATAAAAGTTATTTACATGCTAATTGAAAAAATATATTTATAAGGTACTAATTAAGAAAAAAAACATTAAATGAATTTTTTATATGATTAAAATCTTCAAAAAAAATGAAGATAGAATTCTTTTTATTTTTTATTTTTTGGTTCAAATAAAATGAATTCCTTTAAAATTCAGTACCTAATCCGACGGCCACAAGGCCTTCTTTCCTTGTTTGATCAAGAATACTTATGTTGTGATCATCCTGTCAACCGATTGTCGGTTATTATAAGCGGGAAAACTACCGTAGCAACAAATGTTAAGCGCGCTAACCCACGCGCCCACTCTCCGTTTTCTTTGCTCTTCTCCTCAGCCAAAGCCCGTACCTTGTCGCTCTTGCATGGCGGACTCCTCTCTCGTTCGAATCGCTGTCGTCGGAGACGTCGTAAGTTCACTTCTTTCTCTAGCTAGGGTTTCCTTTTCGTTATATAATGATATATTTTAAAAAGAAAATTCATTCAATTTTTTTTAATTGGGGTTTTGGTTGAAGCACGATGATTGGGACCTGGAAGAAGATACAAAGGCACTTCAATTTCTGAAGGTAATTTTGTTATTTTAAATTTATACGATTTCAAAGAAAAAAGTGTAAAATGCTAACGTTGTGAGAAAGGTTTGGATATTGAGAGAGAAAAAAAATGAGAAAAAGGGATCTGCTTTAATGTGAAAAGTTAAAAGTTTTATAATAGAAATGGAATTAAATTGATCCCAATTCTGTATTATAGTCTTTGCTAGTTGCCATGATCAAGTTGATGCACTATTACTCCACCCCTGCTTCTAATTAACTCTGCATTCTAGTTTTGAGGATTCTAATTTTTCAAACTGCTTTTCTTTTTCGTTGGGTGTGGGGACTAATTAGGTAACATTTTCATAGATTTGTTGGTTGTTTACGAATTGCCATTGAATTAAAGATAAGTTTTTTATTTGAAATTTTGTATATTGATCTCGGGTACCTATCTGATATAAAGTTTTGTGAAAATGCAGCCAGATTTGGTGCTCTTCACAGGCAGGTTTCTTGTTTCTCAGTGTATATGCACCTGAATATCTGCTATGTATGGTTCTTCATTCGTGGTGTCTGTGCTCTATATTTTTCTGGCTTTAAATTTTGAGTCAAATAGAAAGGGCACATGTGATGGAATCATGTTGGTGCTGGACTCTATTGCTACTTGACACTCTCAGAAATGTGCAACACAATCTAGAGTTGTCCATTCATTTCAAAGAAAATAGATAACTGTAGCTTATTTGCCTGAGTCACACAGCCAATCTCTCGCTATAGCACTATACAACCAACTTGTTATTAGATTCATTTCACCCAAATCTAACCCTATGAATCTTGTCTCCTTTTTGCCTGTTTCACCTGCTTTGACTTTATTCAGGTGATTTTGGGAATGAGAATGTTGAACTAGTTCAAAACGTTGCTGCTCTCAACTTTCCGAAAGCAGTTATTTTGGGAAATCATGATTCTTGGAACACTCAACAGTTTTCTGGAAAGTAAGTTACTGATGGCCAATGAATCCACTAATATGGGGTTTAGGGTGTGTTTTAATGTGGATGTTGCGGTTTTCTCTGCATGTCTATAGTAGCTAGCACAAGCTAATGATTTCTAATCCAGCACATCTTTTCATGGTTAGGAGGAAGGATCGAGTTCAACTTCAGCTAGAATGGTGAGCTTGGTTGACCTATACTAAGGAATTATATGGATGCATGCTTTTATAGTTTTTTCTATTCTCTGTTTTTCATGTTATATTTTATTGTAACATTTTGAGGCTTGAATTAGTCAGGTAAATTTGTTGCAGATCTCAATATAATTCTTGGAAATAATGATATTCTGGTATGAAAAATAAAATAAAAAAGAAGATGTGGACATAGGGACTTTGAGTACAGAAATGGTTAATTTTATGCCTCAAAATAAGAGAGGAGAATCATATGGCCTTTGGCCACATTATGATCATTTGTGAGTTGTAGAATTTGTGGGGTATCAGTTGATAATGACGTTGCTTTCATGCTCTAGTCTTGGACAGGAACATGTAGGTTATAAACGTCTGGACTTTCCTTTACTAAAGCTCAGCATTGTTGGTGGACGGCCATTTTCGTGTGGGGGTCAGCAAATCTTTCGGAAAAGGCTTGTGTCTGCAAGGTGGTATTGCCAAATGGCAGCTATTAGCTACTCTTTTGTTTTACCTTATATATATTCCTGTTTTGTACGTTTGAGTCCTTTGTCTATTTCTCCCCAATGACACACACATCTTTGCAAGGTTGTATTTGAACCTTCATCTATTTCCTTTCCACTTTACATCTTGTTTGGCTTTTCTATTAATCTTGCAGAACACTTAAATTTTTTTTTTTTAGTAATTGGGGGAGGGGGGATTCGAACCTTGCTCTTTAAGTAGGGGGATTATGCACCAACTAATAAGCCAAATGCTCGGGTGCTGCAGAACACTTAAATTGACTTTATTAGATTTAAATTTTTCTGTAACCTAATAAGCTATCAAATTAAGCATATAGTGCTGAGAAGATTCTTGATTGTAGAGTTTTGCTCTTGTTTTACAATTTATTATTTATATTGCTATTTTTGGAATTGGCGTGTCCTTTAGATATGGAGTCCAAGATATGGAGGGAAGTGCCAAAAGAATCTATGAAGCTGCACTTGGGACCCCTGAAGATCATTTAGTTATATTTCTTGCACATAATGGACCCACAGGTGTATGGCCTTGCCAAACTCACCTTTTGTTTAGACAAATTGGTTGTTCTTATAAAGTATTAGGTGTTACTTTTTGCAGGTCTTGGCAGTGAATTGAATGACATTTGTGGAAAAGATTGGGTGTTTGGAGGTGGTGATCATGGTGATCCAGGTAATTTATCAGAGTTCGTGTTCTACCTTTCCTTAAAATTACGTGGTTATTTCACTTTGTCTTGCACTTGACAAGATTGATGGCATAATGAACCTGATGACCAGATGTAGAAGGGTGAGAACTAATATATTAATGTCCTTCCTCATGCTATATATTTGTCTACTCTTAGATAGATTAGTGGCCTCATTTGTCATGCTGACCATAGCATCTTCTCATACAGATCTAGCACAAGCCATCTCCCACTTGAAAGAGACTAGTACCTTCTCTATTCTACTTGTCGTGTTTGGTCACATGCATAAAGAGTTGGCCGATGGGAATGGTCTTCGGAAAATGATTGTAGTTGGAACTGACAACATTATATACTTGAATGGGGCCATAGTTCCCAGGGTTAAAAGACCTATAAACAAACAACAAGCAGCACATCGAAGCTCCATAGATAATCAGACCTTGCTGAACGCATCCAATTCTGATGGCACAAAGCGAGCCTTCACTTTAATTGAGATATTAAACGGACAAGTGGATAAAATTTCGGAAAATTGGGTTTCTGTTGTTGGAAATGAGACGACATTAGAAGAGGAGCACATACTATTTAAATCTAACGGGCAGTCTTCTCTCTGATTGGAGGTCAGCTCGAGGCCTTGTAGCTTTATGAGACTAGGAACAGAATTAGTCCGCTATAGATGACTCTTGGATCTAGCATGCCACTCTTCAGCATGTAGCAAGCACGTGACTTTTATATGAACTCTGCAAACAATCATTAACACGAAATAAGAAGTTATGGCTGTTATGTTTGGAAATGTTATACTAGCTTTTTAAGAACTAACCTGAAGGATGTAGTTTCCTTATGTGCAAACTTGAAGCAGGAAAGCACCAGGGCGATTGATCAACGCCCTGGCTGGTTTAACTTCACAGAGTCTTGTTGATGTTACCACTATTAAGCCTATGCTCTCTTAAGAGTTCTTGAGGAAGAGTGTGGTGAAAGGAAAGAGAACAATTAGTAAATGGGGCCGTTATGTTCCAACTTTTTCTGCTGCTTCCATTAATATTCCGATTCATTCAATCTCTTTTTCCAGGCAAATATTCAGAGCTAAGTTTGATCCATGCTTTTACATTTTATGTGTATTACTAAAGGATAGTAACATGAACCCCTTAGTTCCATTGTGGCAAATGGAAGCAAGGTTGAGGACCCAAAAAAAGAAAAGCTCAAGAGACAAGTCAAAAGGGTAGTAAGGTGGCAAAGGTTGACCAATTTCTTGATGATTTGATATATGGTCACCAGTTTTTTTCCTATATTTAATAGAACAGTAGAACCTTTTTCTTGGTATTTCTTTACCTTAATCTATTAGTTAATCAGACCCAAAAGGAAACATGGATTAATTAACCAATTATATTTGCCAATGAAAAAGATATTATGCACATGAAAGTGATGATCCATTTCCTAGATTTCTTCAATCATGATATTAAATAAAGGGCAAAAAAGGGTATGGCAACTAATCTTAATATATTAAAATAATATAGTCTGTGGGACTTTTTCTTTTTGGTTAAACCACTTTTAAACAGTTGTCTTTCTGGTTAGCACATACATTTTTTCACAACTAATCTTTATGTCTTTAGTCATCTTTAAAACCTGGTTCTTTTTTCTCTTTTCTTAGTGTGCACCAACTCCCAAGCATTCTATGGGGGGCTTTTTGACTCAAATCTCTTCCTTTGGACTGAAGCTTACCCCCACTTGATACCAACTGTTGAATAGAAAACTCGGCCTGGTACCATCATTATTGAGGGTTAGCAGCCAATCCAAATGCATTTTAACTTACCCCAACTGCAATTATTTCATACACCCTCCTGCTTTCACTTTGGAATCTCAGTCCTTATTCCAAACTATAATTATGAGCTTAGTGTATCAAACTCAATAATTGAGGTCCAAAATCATAAAAATTAGTACTAATATATACCAGGATTACTATTCAATGTATTAAATGAATATAAGATAGTCGCATAAATCCGTTGGAGGAGTTTCAAAAGACCTGATAAATCACTGCAGAGAATGATAATCCTATCTACTATAATGAATGTTGTGATTACAACTGTTTTTAGATGAAGCAATCTTGGCTTCTTGCATGGAACTGTGCCCTGTTGAGTAATTGTAAACCCGTTTGAAAATCATTAGAATCAAATGCTAGTTTAATACTCTCTGGGGTCTGGGTAATCAAAACCTCGTCAATTGAAACGAGAAATCTTGTTGCAGACGTAGCAGAAGCTGTCCTGTCCAGTGTGCACTAAGCCTTTTTGAGTGTTGAATTATGGAGATGGGGAACCAATAATTTTTACGGCTTGTAATGAATGCCTTTTGTTCATTTATTAGGTCTCTCCAAACCCTTCACATTTCCATTAGTTCCGGATGATAACAGGAGGGGCCCCCCCAACCCCCATACACACCCCACTTGCTAGGACCACTGTCCCCTGCTCTACTGTTTCTAAAGACAAAGTCAATTAATTTTGTTCCTCCACCTATCCAAAATGTCACACCAAAAAATATCCAAATTTTTCATATTTTTAATCTTAATTAACCCTTTTCCAGTTCAAGTTATTCAACTTCATTTTTCAAACTTTTCACAGTTTGATTAAAATAGTTTAAAACCATTCATTGAACTTTATTACTATTGCATAAAAGGCAGCAGAAAACCTCATTTCAATCTTACAAACTTGCTGTTTAAAGGATAGCACACGAGAAAATTAATGATCATTTACCTATTGGGTATTTTAGACTTAAAAAAAAGAATTAAAGATCGAAATCAAATATCTCATCTCTCATGAGTGACAATATTGTTTTACAAATACATAATGCTTTAAAAATTACCTGCATTATTTAAAAAAATTAAATAAATTTTTATTTTTCTATTGTATTATATTTACGTTGACATAAAGAGTACAAAAATCACGTAATCATATATTATCATATTATATATACATATCATGTTACTATCTATTATATCACGTCAATACTATATGGTATATACTAATAAGTGAGGTTTTATTAACTATGGTTAATCAATTATAATTTATAATGATTTATTTGATTTAATATAAAATTTTAATTAAATGTAATAAAAAGATAATTTTTTTTAATTTATATTTGACATGAATGGTACAGATAGAAAAATAGTTCGTTTAGATACCAAAATTGAGATTTGTCCATTTTATTGGGAAATCTTGTAATGTTTGAAAAATAGCTACAAAATGCACAATTTTATGTGCTACATTACATGAACTTCAATAATTGGTGCAACCCATCTATTAAATCTAGTCACACCCACTTGTTTTTTTAGACAATGACTTTACAATATATCTTTATTGAATTTTGATGTCAACAAAAATATATAAAAAGGAGAAAAAATTAGGAAGATTTTTCCATTCTTTGAACAATAAAGACCCAACTCCTTTGGGTAAATCTTGTTGGGAGTGGGGAAGGGTAGCAAATTTGGGGAGGACCAAAGAGTGAAAAACAAAATGTTTGTGGTAAAAATGGTCAAAGTTGCAGAAAGACATTTTGTTTGTTAAAAACTTGGGCTGAAACAAAGCAAAAGAAAGGGAATGTCTGAGTCTGACAACTTCTCTGATATCTTCTCCCCTTCCTCAAGATCCCCCCACCAGCCTTTGACCAAATCTCAGCCCTCCATTTTCACAATTCCTTCTTGCCCTCTTTGCTCATCTAATCCTTCCATCTTCCTTAATTTTGAGTATAATTTATAGGAGCATATTTTAAGGGCACTAGATTTTAGGGAACTACCCATTGTTTTGGATAAAGGGAACATTCAATCTAATCATTTAAAAGTCCAAAACACCCTACCCATTTTCATCCAAACTCTTCAATCTCAAAAAGATTGAAAATCTTTTGTTTTAGGGATTAAATTGATTTAGTATTATTGGATTTCGGATTTCGGATTTATGTTTGATATATTATTAGCTTATAAAATTTATATATTATTATTTAATTATATGATGCATGTTCATAAATGAAATAATAATATTTGATTTATTAATATAATGTATATAATTTACATATGAATAATTCATCATAGATAAACTCTTAAACTTTTTATTTAAACTCGACTAGCTAAGTACAAAAAAGTTTATATTCCTAGATAGTGTTATCATGAGAGAAATAAATAAAGAGGAATCTATGGGTATAATTGGCATCATATTTTCGTTTTTGTTTAATTAGCACTAATTAAAGTGAAAAAGAAAGGGCAAATTGGATATTTCGAAAAATAGTATCCCAAAACAAGGTGTTGTCAATCAGTGAAAAAATAGAAGCCAGATCATCGTGAAGCCAGCCATTGCTCCTAAGCTCCTTGAAAGCAATAAAACAAGAGGGAGGAAGGGAAATAAAAAGGAAAAACCATATTAGCTTAGCTAATATTTCTAGGCCCCTGTTCCTCTCCGGCAACACTTCCTGCTCACCCGGTTAGATCGGATCCAATTGCCCTTTCTCTTCCATCCCCTTTGATTTTTCACCTTTGGATTTTTGCTTTTCATCATCCCCAGCAAAACCAAATGCTATTAAACAAAACTCAAGAAAAGAAAAGAAAAAGATAACCCACCAATCAGCCAAGAGGCCAGAACCCAAAAACCACTCCCCCAGAAACAGAAAATTTGCCAAAACCAAAAACACAAAGTGAAAACTCAAGGAAACATAACAAAAACAATACCTTCAAGCAGAAAAAAGCTGTTGGCCATATGTTCATTGCATGTGTTTTCCAGTTCCATATTTAGAAAAACTGGGTTTTTTCTTCCCTTTGGTGTGGTTGTAAATGGGGAATGTGACGTCGAGTGTGGCTGCAAAGTTTGCGTTTTTTCCACCAGAACCACCAACGTACGATGTTTACAGGGAAGAAAATGGGAAGCTGGTTTTGCCAGGGGTCACCGCGGACAAGAACATGGATGTTCATTTGCTTGATACCAAAGGTGGCAATAAGATCGTAGCAACCTTTTGGAAACACCCTTTTGCCAGGTTCACGCTCTTGTATTCCCATGGCAATGCTGCTGACTTAGGCCAGATGCATGAACTCTTCATTGAGCTCAGAGCCCACCTCCGTGTCAATGTTATGAGGTACCTTTCCTTTATTTGTTTCATTGTTTTATTTATTATTATTATTCTGGCTTTTGATTGATTTGGGAGATAGGTTTTCATCTTTTATTTGGATTTTGATTATGGTGAAATGGGGTTCCACCCCCTCTCCCCATTCCCCCCAGAAAAAGGGCTATTTTTTTTAAAAAAATTGTTTTGATATTGGTTTGAGACCAGTTTTTAGTTTCTGCTTTCTTTTTCTTTTTGGTTTCTTATTCTTTTTCTTCTTCCAACGTTATATTTTTGGTTTAATGTATTCTGAGTTCGGTAGTTCTGTTGTTGTTACTTGTTTTTGCTTATGTTGTTGTGTTCTGTCTGTGGCGACTTATCATAATTTCCTGTTGGAGGAACATGCGTTTGTCGTATGGAACTTCCTTTTTAGTTTTCAATTTGTGTTCTTTTTTGTCTTTGCATATTTGGGAACCATTCTTTTCGTCAACTTTATTTATTATGGCAAACCAATTTCAGATGTGCTGCCCATCATTGCTTCAATTGAAGGTCGGTCGGCTATAGATTTTTCTTTTCCTTCCTCCCTCTGGAATTAGCATCTGAAACTGCAATGGAAAAGTAAAGTAAAATGAAAATTAGAAGAAATATGATAGTAATTTTCAATTTGATTAATGTTTTTGTTTTCATCAAAGGTCTCATATTTGCTAGCCTTCTTTTTCCAAGAGCTGTCATGAAATGGCTTCAGCTCCATTCGTACTATGCATAAATTCTTAGATACCTTTTTCCCACCAAAAGAAAATATGGGAAAATTAAATCGTGAAAATTTTGGTTGTTGGTGATGTTTCATGATAGTATCACTTTCTTTTCTCTGTGCCTACTGACTAGATTAGGAGGTCCAGTTATCTTTCAAATTGTATGTAAAAGGCTGAGGAGCTGTTTACCTAAATTCGTAGCTATTGGCTAACATAATTTTCTCAGGGTAGAATCTGTCAGATATGGCTGTGATGTGATAACATTGACTAAGAATCTTCCTCTATTATTAATTTATCTTTTTGCTTTTGTTTTGCAGTTATGATTATTCTGGATATGGAGCATCATCTGGCAAGGTAAAAGAATCTTTGAGACTGTCTGCATTTGTATTTTCTTGTATCTCTCTTTGTCTTGAGGGCTTACAACACTGCGGATCAACTCTTAAATTGCTTGAAAATTTTCTATGAAAAGGTTTTTAGCAAATAAAAAAATAACTGGAATCAAGGAAATGACTGATAACTTAGCTGGCCAAATCTTTATTCAAGTCTTTTCCTGCCTGACTAATTTTATAACTGATAAGCTGCTTTTTCTGCAATTGCACTAGCCAACTGAGCTCAACACATATTATGACATAGAGGCAGTGTACAATTGCTTGAAGAAGGAATATGGAGTTAAACAGGAAGACCTGATAGTGTATGGCCAATCTGTTGGAAGTGGGCCGACTCTGCACTTGGCTTCTCATTTGCAGAAACTAAGAGGAGTTGTTCTTCATAGTGCCATCCTTTCAGGCATACGGGTCTTGTATCCTGTCAAGATGACATTTTGGTTTGATATTTTCAAAGTAAGTTTGATTTGGTGTTCCTGTAATCTTCCATTCTGCCGCAAGCTTAAAATGAATTGGTTTGTATTGAGGAAGCTCTTTCCAAATATTTACAGAATATAGACAAAATACGGCGGGTCAGCTGTCCAGTTCTAGTTATACATGTAAGTATCTTTTATTTTGGTTAATTTCTTTAGTTACATTTGCTTCAATTTGTGGAAATCCGTCATGGAGACAGGAGACCATTAGCACTCACATTTAGTTAATATCAGCAAATTCCCTGTTAGGTTTGATATAGTATTTCACTTTGATATGTTTCATGTTGAATAGATCTAATAAGTATTATCATGTTGTGTAATCCTCCTAGATACTATCAATAAGGGAAAACTGTTAGAACTTTTGGTAGTATTATCCTCCATTTGCATAAGAACTAAGGTTCTTCTAATTTAATCTCAGGCATCATTGATGCATATTTGTTGATCAACGCTTGCAGGGTACAAATGATGACATTGTAGATTGGTCTCATGGAAAGCGATTGTGGGAACTTTCCAAGGAAAAGTATGATCCTTTATGGGTCAAGGGTGGCGGCCATTGCAACCTTGAAACTTATCCAGAGTACATTAAGCATCTACGCAAATTCATAAATGCGATGGAGAAGATATCCATTACAAAACCAACAAAGCAACTTACCTCTATCCCCAGTCTCACAGAATCTAAACACAATAAATGCTTGAGATTTAAGAAAAAGGCAGCTGTACCAAAAAAGGAGTGAGTTGGAGCAGCTAGTTTCCATTGTAATTTGAAGACCAGCTCCCAGAATTGATCTACTGGGTGGCCTGCTTCATGGACCCAATGACTGGCAGCCAGGGTTGTTGTGCTTGATCTGTTTCTCGGAGATTGTGAACTGATAGGAATCATAGATCTATATGTAGTCTGTTTGATCCAGATCCTGTTTTTGAACCATTTATGTGGGTAGGGAGTTCTTGCTCTTTCTTGTGGCAGTAAGTGTTCCATCAGAAAATCCCAGAGAACATGCTTCTTCCTCTGGGTTTCACTTGTGACTAAGTTCGTCTATGTAAAAACTATCAAACATTTAGAAAGAAAAAAGGAAATAGGTGGATTACTTTACTTTAGTTTCATATTAGATTCAATTGGTTTCTCCTACTTTTGTACCTTATGTTTTTGTCTAATCATGGATAAATACCAGCTTCAATTTCATCCATGTCATGTATTTTTCCCATGATATTATAGGTCTCTCAATAAAAGTTTCACCAAAATCTTGGCCAAGGAAGAAACATCCATGGGCCCAAGGTCCAAACCTCCATTCAAGATGGACCCAAATGCTGAAAATCAGGGCCCAACCCATTAACAACGACGGCCTTTGCTGATGCAAAACCTGTTGGCAACTTGAATGGTGATTTGTAAACATGTTGTTGCCCACAACACATGTGGCCCATATGAAAACCACCCACTATAAACTAAACCATTGAAATTGAGATCCACTCCTTGCTGATTCAAAGGTTTATTTTTTCTTTTTTTACCAATTTTTTTTTATGTAGTTGGGCAAAGTTTAAGAGTCACTTGGCCAAACAAATATGTTTGTTAAGAAAGAGAACAAAAAGAAGAGGGTTTTATTCTTTAATAAATTTGAAGTAGGTCCTTGGTTTTCCTTGTTAAGTGTTCAACCATGAACAACAAAATGACAGCTACCTAGCTAGATATGCAATATCTACGTCCCAAAGATACACATTCCAAGCTGCCCATTGATATCTCAACAATTTTAAAGGGCCTTTCAATAATATTATATATTTTTTATAACCAACTATCAACGTCTTAATGCTATGCACGGCTTTTCAAAGGATATAGATTGAGATGTTTCGATCCCATATTGGACATCTGAGAGGTTTTGAAACATTGTGGGTTTTGTATATTCTATCAGATCATGTTTTTAGAGAGAAAGTAATGATCTCGTTACAGGTGATATTAAAACAAACTCAATTTTGAGTCAATTTACCCTAAACATTTTTAGAAAAAAAAAATTGTTTGTTAACCTTTTGGGAAAAAGTAATGATTATGGTATCAATAAAATTCTAAAAATATATATATTGGATTTTAAAACTCAAAAGGCAAATATATTTAGTTTTAAGGAAATTCTAGGTTTTTTTCATTATTTACCTAAATGAAATGCCAGCTTTCCCACTTTTAAGGAAAAACAAATTGTTGATAGTAAGAGCTTAGATGGGTAGTTCACAATCCTCACATGGCTAACCATTAAAAAAAACCCAACGTTAATTACTTTTTTGTAAAGTTTATAAACATTATATTGATGCTACATTGAGTTGGAAGCTCCTAGGAAGTCTCCTTGGACAGAATATTCTCGTGGAGACAATATTTATTGGGCAGATCCAACAATATAAGGTTAGAGTGGGATATTTATTTCTAAACTCCAATTTTTAATTAAACATATGACATGTTTTCATTAGAAAATTCGATGAAAATGTCATAATAAATAATAGCAAAATGTATTGTTTTGTTCTTTTTTAAGCTATGAGGCTTAGGCTGAGTTGTTTTCCTAAAGTTGCCGTTAACACTATCATTAAAGATTTCTTTTTGTTCATGAATTGAAACAATGTTTTTATTTAATTTTTTATGATTTTGGCATTGATAGACAGAATCAGTAATTAGTGATTCTGAATTCTAATCCTGTCACGTATACAAGATAAGGACAGTTAATATTACTGCAATTGCATGAAATTTATGAGTGAGTAAAGGTTAAAAATTGCTTTATGGGCATCACAAACTCTATCCCCCCAAATAGACCATAGATAGTCAATGAATGGCGACAATGGCACAACAAAAGAAAGAACCAAAAGCAGCACAAAGTGTAGGAGAAATTCCTACACCAGGGAACAAGAAAGTTTGGAAACATATGCAAACAAAAAGAGAAAGCAAAAACAATAGAATCTCCAACATCAATGAATACAAATAAGGGGATAAAAATAAAAAAGAAGAGGCAAAACGGCTAAAAAGTCTTTAACAGAGACATAGTCCTGATAAAAGGGAAGGGAACATAACATGTTTAATGGGGGATTCATGTCTCCAACTGCAAGCATTTGAAATAAGAAATTGGTGTCAAAACTCCCCCAAATCAGCAAATGAAGCTTCAAACCAAGCCATGGGTACCCTTCAGATATCAGCAATGGGGGATGTCTGCAGGTAGCTTAATTATAATTGTTTGATTAGTTGGGTGTGAAGCTTGTTGGCTGTTTTCCATCTGTATTATGTGGGATGAATCTTTTTTGTTTCCTTAAGAAGCCCATGTGAGAATCCTTTTGAAATTATATATATAATAACAACTATGACTTAAAGAGTACTTTCCACTTTGAAAAAAGAAACCCTTTGTTTAAGCTCTAAAGCTCTCACTATCATCCACTGAGTTGGAGAGAGAGAGAGAGAGAGTTAGCCAAAATCCTTATGCATGATCACCAACTTCTCAAACTTTTATGAAGCCAAAACTATTATTATATATTGAAATTTCAAGCCACATGGATTTCATTTCTCCAATAAAAGAGCTTTCCCTCCACAGCAATGTAATGGGCATTCAAGTGTTTGATGATTTGTTCACATAATCCACTTTTTCCCCACCAAACAAGTTAGTTTAAAGTTAACTCCATTTTTTTTTTCCTAATTAACGGTTCTTGTTATGTTATATATGCTGATTCTAATTGGGAAAACGATAGATATGAATTGAGAGTTGAACATTTTGGGATATTCCATTCCATCCCAAGAAACTTCAAGCTTTTATTAGGCTTGAAGTTGTAGTATTCATTTAAAATACATAGTGTTGGACTATTTGGTATACCTGTACTCTTTATTTGAAAAAAAAATATTAATTTTTTTTTATCATATGTTCCGCGATATAATTTCTAAATTATAAAATTTACAAGAAATTTAATTTCAATCTTATTAAGACTAGAGATTAGAATAATTAACTTTGTGGGGATCATTATCAGGGCCATACTACATATATGAAGTGCATCACCACTCATGTGGACCACTAAAATGTTTTATTCATTGTTTGATTAAAGTGAATTGAAAACCAAAATCTGTCTCATAGTTTTTGCTTTTCCAAATCTCACAAGTCTCCCATTGGACAGCTTGGAATTATATCCATGCTGTTGAAAGATTAATAAAAAAAAAAAAAGAGGTGGAGTCTGATTACTCAAGGGATTGGGGCCAAGCTTGTTCAATGAAATTGAGTCTAAGTGTGATTCAGACGCCCACTTCCCTAATCCCATCATAAAATCATGTTCCAGGCTCTGAACCAACTCTCTCAACCTCATGGTTTACACCTTTTATCAATTTGGTTTCCATGCCATGTTGGTAAACTTACTTCTAATTTCCATCATGATAGTTGATTAAACACCCATTGTCACTTTTTAAATAGATATTGGTATCATCAATGTTATGCATTTCCAAAAAAGCAGACAAAATGTTTCAATTTCACGTTAGACAAGTAAAAAAATTTTGAAAACCTTATAAATGTTATACGACACGTCTTATCAAATTAATCTTTAAAAAAAGAATAATAATCTCACCATAAAATAACATTAAAGTAAACCCGAAGTAATCACGTCAAATATTTCAAAACAAGTATTAACTATGGGGATATGAATCCCATTTCCAACCCCCACTTTCCATGCTTTCAATCATCTAGTCAAACAGTAGCCCCTCCCTAAATTGGAGGCTAATCCAACCACCATATATATCTAAATTACACTGTTTCCGTTTGATTCCGAATCCCCCCTGATACATATCCTGAATGGGGTTGGAGAGTATTTGGAAGGTGATCCACAAAGCCAAATGAACAGTGACTTTGAAAGAAAGAATAGACCACATGGGGCTCAAAAAATATGTTCCATCAAAGGTAGCATTGCTGTATTTAGCTGGATGGCAACCAAATTTTGTCAAGGATTTTGGGTCATGGACATTAAAATACTAATTAATCATTAAGCAACTTGCTTGAATCACAAAACACATGTCTCACCTTGTTGGCTCTAAATACTTTTATTAGCTTGATGGCATCTAACTTATGGATTGTTAATTATGATGATATGACCTTTAATCTTTCATTACCATTCTTAAGCTATGATTTTTATTTTATTTTGTTATAATTAATAACTTCAGGTGATTTGAAGTTCACATGAAATAGATCATGTTTGTCCCAAACGCCCAATACTTACCTAGTCCTACTAGGTAAATAAATTACTCATTTCACTTCTTAACAGTAACCTTATGTTAAACTCAAGATCTATAATTAGATGTATAATCTTATATAAACAAATTATTATTCTCTATACATCATTAAAATAAATTTAACTTTATGATAAAAGATTATGTATAACTTAAAGTCACTCAAATTAGAATTTCACACCTAATTTTGTTAATTTTGATACACTCAAATTGCTCAAATTCAATTAAAATTTAATTGCTCATATCTTCCCTAAATTCAATTAAAAATCAACTTTTGATATTCAAACACAATTATTAACACGCATAAGAAATTCAAACTTGACATAGTAAATTATAAATAACATGGGTATCTTTGACAAAACTTGATCTAAACTCAAAGTTGAAATAAAAAATAAATTTAAAATTAATTTTTATGTATATTATTAATAAAAATTAACTCATAAAAATATAATTTAAAGTGAAAATTATATTCAAATTAATTATAAAATATCATAATCCTGTACGAACGAGTGTAATAGCATCAAATTGTAGGGTACTTAATCTTATCCCCAGCCGAAATGCGAAAGGGATAGAAGCAAAGGCAGCGGTGGCAAAGCGTAAAGGGCAATCCAGTAAGTGCGGGCACAGTTTTGCTTGATGAATATATATGATGGTGGAGCCCACAAGTTCAGAATTCCCAGCAAGTCCCTGTCTCTGATATCCTGCGACGGACGTGTCGTTATCAAAAAAGGCTGCATTTCATTCTGGGTTCCGGACTCTGGAATCTAGCAGGGGTCCCATCGTTAGACCGCATAGCCAATTGGAAGATGTAACGTGGAGGACTCGGGCTTTAAAAGCCGGACTGGCCCTGTCTTACCCACGAGAGAGCCCAAAGATTAAAAATAAGAAAAAAGTGTACTTCTCCTTTGGTACTTTTCGTCTGGGGACACGCTGACCTATTCCCCCTCCCCCTTCTTACTCTCCTTGTTTATTGCGTGGGAATCAACCCCTTTCTGAGAATTTTTACCATAAATTTGATATTTAAATGTTGAAATATGAGATTTTAATTAGAGGCTTCGATGAGTATTTTATAAACGAATATTATTATATATTATTAATCTCATCAATCCAATTAAGTAAAATTATAATGTTTTATAATCGAATTTAAATATTGTTTGAATAATAAAATTACTATTCAAACATAATTATAAATAATGATAAGATATTAAATTGTAAAATCAGATACTTATAATATTCAAATATTCAATCAAATAACAAAATTTAGATTCAAGTATTTCAGAAATAATAAATACTTTGATAAAATTTTTATTTTTGGGTAAAATTCAATAATATTATTTTCTTGAATTAGTGAAAGTCAAAATAATTTTAATTCAAGGGAGTGTTTAAATCTAATACTAGAAAAATGTGACAAAGTTAATGATCCTATTTAAAATAAAAAAAAAGTACATGATAAAAATTAAAAAAATAGAATTAATGAATGCACATGTTGAAATTGTATTTCGTGGATGCAACTTTTTATATCTTTTCATATATCATTTTGAGTGCTATTATTGTCATACGCGTAATTACAGTTTTTTTATTATAAAGAAAATTGATTATTTCAACACTGTTTTTTAAATGTTTTTTAAAAATATTTTTTACTTGAAAATAAATAAAATTTATGAAATGATTGAGGAGTGAGTGGATAAACAAAACCAATCAATAAAATGATTTGAAAAACGTGCATTGTATTTAGACCTAAAATATATTATTTTTAAAAATAATTATCAATTTATGATGATATTGATAAAATATATTATCCCCGGAACTTCTACTAATTATTTAAAAAATTTTGGGTTTTTGCTTGTCTTTTAATTTCGTTGATAAGAAGGGTTGTAGGAAGTATTTAGTAACAAAAATATTTAACTAGGGAGATAGAGTAGCTAGGGCTGGAGAGACTTACATAATGAGATAGATCACTGATTCTGAGGTTAAACAAATGAATGTGATATGATTAGTCAATAACAAAAATCAAGCAGCAACGCAACACACATGTCTGCTACATTGATTGTGATTTTCCATGTTAATTTATTAAGTAAAAAGTAAAAAAAATTTAACATGTTGAAGTGAAAAAGAGAATCTGATTTTTTTTACATAATTTTTGTCAAAAATTTAAATCTTAAAGATTAAAACTCATTAAAAAATAATATATCAAGTTTTCAATCAAAAATAAATAAACAAATAAACTTTTAATAATTTGATGAAATAACACTTATAAAAATATATCGTTTCGTATCGTAAGCAAGTTGTGCAATTCTTGATTAAGGCAATAAAATATATCGATAAGTATTATTTTTTAATAGTAATATAATTGATTGTACGATACGTAATGTGTATCATATAATTTTGATAGTTATGAGTAAAACAAGTTATTAGAGAATAATTGTGTATTAATTTAATTTAGTAGATACAACTTATAGTTAAATCAAATATTCAGATACAATACTTTGTAGAGTTCCTAAATTTGTTACATGATTTTAAAAATTGATTTAGAGCTTGGGACACCTGTCATGGCAAAAAATGAAAGCATTTTTGTGCATGGATTCTCATTTCACTAAAAGAAATATTGCATCCTTGATTAGTTTGAAGAGGTTTTATTGAGATACACAACTTCACACTAAAATCAAAAATTCTTTTTTATAGGATTTATATTTGATGTATTGACAATATTTAACTTTAGATGCAATGGTAGTTATTTTTTTTTTCGAATGCTTTGATTATAAAATGACAATTATACATTTGATAAACTTCTTTAACATTACAAAAATGAAGGACCAAACTGTCTTTTAACGAGCTTGAGTTTAAACATGGGAATTCTTAAAGCAAATCATGGGACTATTAAAGGAAATAATTTATGACACAAAAGGTTATAACTAGCTTCCCAAGATAAGGCCAATTAGTATTTAAAGACCCTAAATAATTATCATAATAATTAGTTTACATTTTCTTGCTAACCATCTCTAGTAAATATAGCCCTCTTTTGTAATTAATTTTAAAATTTTAAAATTTGAAATATTTAAAAGTCTAGCTAAGGAAATTAGTCCAGACTTAAACATGAAAAATTATGTTAAAGGAAATAATTATATCCATTTTCTCCTTTTTATTCCTAAATTTTGTTTGATTTATTTTAAAATAAACAATAATTATTCAAAACAGTTAATGTCAATATTTTATTATTAATTGTTTAGATCAAAAAGTTACGAAATAGTTAACATTGATCCTTCTTGACAAAAAACGTTAAAACACTGCATAAGGAAGGATTACCTTTGAAAAGGTTTATACTAGACACAAATAGACATTAATATTTTTTTCGTTTTAGCTAAATCTAAACCGACGGTTGACATTTCATAATTGACTGAATCGTGCGGCAGAAATGGTAAGGTCTATTTATGGTGGATTTGATAACGTTCCCACGATATTATTTCTTTGGAAAAATAGGGTTAGAGAAAAAATAAAGAAATAAATAATAAAATAAAAAAAGGATGGTCTGTTCAATTGACAAGAAAAAGCTAAAGACAAATACAGAGGAGAGAGAGAGTTGAAACAGAAAACTTTAAGGGAAAAAAAAAAACACAAAACAGACCGAGAAAGAGAAAGGAGGAGAGTGTTGCACTCAAAAGATTAAAAGAAGAAAAGGTTTCTGCTTGTTTGGAGGGTTGAAACATCTCAACTCTGTTTTGGCTATCAACATCATTGTCCCTTTGTACAGCTTTTACTTGCAAAGCTCTCTCCTTTTTTGACGGTTTCAGGCTTCTAATTCTCTCTCACTCTCAATTTTTGTCTTCGTACATTTTTTTTATATATTTTTTTGCTTTTTAGAGGTTTTGGCTATCTGGGTTTATTTTGAAGTTTTGATAAACAGTGGATAAACTAAAAAAGATTGAAAACTTTGGTTCTGTGATCTTTGTTTTGGCTCTGTTTTCTTATCTGGGTGGTTTCAATTGCTTTTTTTATCAATGGCTGTGGAGGAGAAAATGGGTGGTTCTAATGGTGAAGATGGAGGCAAGGACCGGTTTCCAGTTGGTATGCGTGTTTTAGCAGTTGATGATGACCCTATTTGCCTCAAAGTTTTGGAAAATCTGCTTCGTAAATGTCAATATCACGGTTAGTTGTTTCTCTTTCTTTTTTTTTTCTCTTTTGAATTCTCGTGAAATTATCATGTTTTTTTTTTACAAAAAGTTTTATGTTGAATTAGAAATTCACTTTTAATTCTATTGATAAGTTATCTGTTTTCCGTTCTGTTGTTCTCAACCTTTAATTAAAGGCTTCGTTTTTGTTCTAAAAAGAATGTTGCTTAAATTGTGTTGATGTGTAAACTTTCAAAAAAAAAAAATGTTTTGATGTGTCTTCTCTTTGGGTTTATTGTGTGGTTGGTTTAGATACTGTTTCTGTGAGGGAGATCTGTCTATTGTGCTTTGCAGTGTGAATTTGATTTGGATCTTTACAATTGTAGTATGCAAGTTTTGACTCTTAACATTGTTAGGACTTGGGGGCTTTCTTTTGACATGTCATTTATGGTTTTTTTTTTTTGTGCAGTTACTACCACCAATCAGGCAATTACAGCCCTCAAAATGTTGAGGGAAAACAGAAACAAATATGACTTGGTTATTAGTGATGTTAATATGCCAGATATGGATGGCTTTAAGCTTCTTGAGCTTGTGGGGCTTGAAATGGACCTACCTGTAATCAGTAAGCATTTACCCTTTTTCCATTTATAGCACTGAATGATACTCATTTGTTTTTGCTTTTCCCCCCTTTTTTCTTTGAATTATTTGTGGAATGAATGAATTTTCTTTTTGTGATTCTGCATTCCCTTTAAAGTTTAAAGTTCACTAATTTTCTAAAATTGTAATTATTCTAGGTTTGCTAAAACGAGCAATAGATTATAATTGTTTCAGAATTGATTTAACATAATTTCTTTCTTCTTAATGAATTCCAGTGTTGTCAGCTCACAGTGATACCAAGCTTGTAATGAAGGGGATTACCCATGGTGCTTGCGACTACTTATTGAAGCCTGTTCGCATTGAGGAGCTAAAAAACATATGGCAACATGTGGTTAGAAGAAAGAAAACTGACTCTAAGGATCAAATTAAGGCCCCAAATCAAGATAAGGTTCGGGCAGGAAATGGAGAATTCGGTCAAACATCAACAGGCAGTTCTGACCAAAAAGTCAATAAGAAGCGAAAGGACCAAAGTGAAGATGAGGAAGAAGAGGGTGAAGATAACGGACATGAGAATGATGACCCTTCAAGTCAGAAGAAGCCTCGAGTTGTTTGGTCTGTAGAGCTGCATAGGAAGTTTGTTGCAGCTGTCAACCAATTGGGTCTTGACAGTGAGTTTTTTGATGTTGAGATTAGTGTCTTATACACAGTGATCCTCATGCCCAACTGCATTTCTAATTTTAGTTTCCCTTTTCTTTTTATTCAAATGCAGAGGCCGTTCCAAAGAAAATTCTGGACCTGATGAATGTTGAAGGACTCACAAGGGAAAATGTAGCAAGCCATCTACAGGTAAACCACTTTGCTCTTTTCTTTACCATCTGCATAATAGATTCTTATATATTGCCCTTGCAACAATTATCAATTATCAGTATACATGTTAAAGTTATAAGTATACATGGGATCTAGTTAAGAGGTTGCTGGTTCTGAAGAAAATTGGATACTCTATTGAGAATAGCTGAATAAAATACAATAGCAAATCTGGTAAGTAAAAAAGCGTCACGTACCATAGGCTCGTTATTGTTTCCTATTTAATGGGCTGTACTAGTTTATAAGAGAGGGAGTTTCTTTATTGTTCTACTCCATGTTAAGATCAACTCATAGTTTGTGAATTTACTGCAACTCCAATTCAAGCTGGTAAGAGCTAGGCTGGGCCATACACTGGGAAAAATTCAGGCACTTGAATCAGGACCTCTTATAAAAATGTGCAGTGACTGGGTACTTGTCACTTCTTTAGGTTTAATGTCTTCTGTTGTCTTGCAGAAATATAGGCTTTACCTGAAACGACTCAGCAGTGTTGCAACTCAGCAAGCAAACATGGTTGCTGCTTTAGGCAGTAAAGATCCCTCTTACTTGCGCATGAGTTCACTAGATGGCTTTGGAGATTTTCGCACATTGACTGGACCTGGAAGGCTTTCAAGTGCTTCTCTATCATCGTACCAACCGGGTGGAATGTTTGGTAGACTGAACTCAGCTGCTTTAAGCCTACGTGGGATTTCTTCTGGTGTCATTCAACCGGGACATTCTCAAACCTTGAACAATTCAATCAATGGTCTTGGGAAGATTCAGCCAGCTGTGTTGCCTGCAAACCAAAATCAAAATGGAACTTTGTTTCAAGGGATCCCAACCTCAATAGAGCTCAACCAGCTGTCGCAGAACAAGTCCACTAACCACTTTGGAGAATTTAATCGTGTTAATGATCCAAATGTTTTTGGTGTTGCCACTAACTTCTCTGATGCCAGAGTGCCAGGTGGTGGCTCGAGCAATTCTCTATCTACTGCCTCAGGCAACCCTTTGTTGTTACAAGCAAACACACAACAGACACACACTAGTGGTTCATTTGGAAATCAATCATCTCTTGGTGTGGCATCACTGAATCAGGAATCATTTGACATGGGTGTTCGTGGTTCTTCTAATTTTCTTGATCATGGTAGATGCAGTGAAAACTGGCGGGGCGCAGTTCAATTATCCAGTTTCCCATCAAGTTCATTGTCAACAAGTGAAGCTTTCAATCACGAGCAGTTGCCACCTAATAATTTGCAGGAAAATCTCTCTTGGACGAGCTCTCACGTTAGTAACAGCCCTATTGATCTTTCTTCTTCCATGGCAAATTCAGCACGTTTGGAGGACTCTAGAGGAGACATGCAGTGCCAAGTTGGCCTAAATAATAATGTTATCCAGAATATAGGTTACACAGCAAAGCAACAGTGGGGAGACCGCAGACATGATTACAATGGAAATTTAAATAATTCATTTAGCAGGGTGGACTCCCTGGTTTCTGCAAGTGGTGCTGTGATGGACCAAAGTAATGCCGCCACCAGTAAAAGGACTGATGTCTCTTTGTTCAGTCAATTAAGTGGTGATGCTCCTTATGTTGTTCAGCACCCTGAGGGTGAGAAATCAGCTTTGGATGCAAAATTGAGGTCCAATGAGGACTATCTCTTCGAGCAGACAAAGCCACAAAGTGGTTTCAGTCAAAATAATTTTGAATCCTTGGAGGATATAATGAGTTCCATGATCAAACAGGTATGACAAGAGAACTTCCTTTGCCTCTCTAGTTTCATTTTTGATTTTTTATTTTTCTTGTCCGTGTCATAGTCTAAATTGGGTGTTGAATGTGAGACTATAAAGCACAGTAAGCACAATAGTTAGGAGTATGAAGTTTGGCATAGATTAGATACAGATATAGAGCTTATATTGCCTGACAAGTTTTACGTGTCTTCCCCATGCTTATATTTTCCTTCTCCATTAGTTAACTATAACAATCAGTGCCAAACGGTGAAATTCGTGCATGCTTAAGAATTGTGAAAATTTTCATTTCTCTACATGACAAGATATATGCGTGATAAGTTTTCAAGTCTCTAGAAGTACAATGGATGGCATTCTTGCTATCCCAGGATCTAACTAGCAGTAATTGGCATTTGGAAAAATAAGTGAGGACTAATTTGTCTCTGGTTAAGACTATTTAATTTCCTTGAAAATGTAGGAAAAATTATTGTGACTGAACCTGGTTTATTTTTAGCCTTGGTTAGGTAATCCTTTTATATTTATTAAATATATACTTATTCTTTATGAGCATAGATTCTTTAAATTGACTGTATCTGAGATGCAGGGACAAAATAATGACACAGCATTGATGGATGGGGAATTTGGGTTTGATGCATACCCCCTTGGGTCATGTATATGAGACGGTTGATGCTGATTCTTGAACAAAAGAAGGTGACAATGGCATAAGTCTACCTCTCTTTACGAGAGTCTGTATCAATATGTAATTTATTCTCTATTGCTACATTTGATTTCTGGTTGAAATTGATGACAGAATCCTTTTTGGAATTCTTTCTCCATGTCCTTTTTCCCTATTGACGGAATAGTAGCTTGAGAAATTCACAGTTTCAGTTTTTCTTAGTTTCTAGTTTCATTTGTATCTTGCTTCTCATAATTTTATTTGAAGGCAGTAGTTGTAAGGAAAAAAAAGGGGCCTCTAAACCATAATTTGAAAATTCAAATTTTCAGTGTTTCACCAGGGAAGAAATATTTTCGATATTTAAATTGTTTAGATGGAAGCCCTTCATGTGTGCATTGAAGGCTACATTTCCTTGCTATTGCCCTGATCATTAAGATTAGCATTGGAGGTGTGCCTGCAGGGTTTATCTGCTTTTCTTGATTTGGATTGGTGTTAATTTTTTCCTTGATAGTTTGATACTTATTTTTTTCTTGGGATCACTTGGTTTCATTCAGATTTAATGGTTCATTCAATTCCAATTCCCTGTCATTAGCCATGGAAGCCAACCATGGTGTATCTTCCACATCCTGAAAACAATCATATATCTTACTGCTTGGATAATCAGGAATAATAATATCACTTTCTTTGGGTTGAAACTTTACAAAATAAAGCTACCTTCCCGTATGGAAGAATAAAACGAATGAAATTACGTGTTAAAAGCATGAAAAACATTATACTGTCAGGTATTTGGAACAAAGAGAATGGCATAAAAATGGCCTCTGAACTTTCATATACAGAAATTCTTTTGACCTCTAATCTTCTCTCTACTTGTCATCAGCTTTCTTTGAGTGCCGACCAGATATTGGCAAAGATTACAGAGCTTGGAATCATGCAACAATGTTTCCAACGAGGTTAATGATTTCTGAGCCACCAATCCTTTGTTAACCAGCTAAAAATATGGTTAAAAATAAGTTTTAAGCATCATAGTCAACTAATCAAGCTCAACAAGCTGAGCTCTTCTCTCAGCAGCCCTCTTTCTTATAAATATTCCCCACCTTAAAGCAGCTTTCAACTTAAGCCACCCCACGACCGCCTTCCCTGAACCTTTGCCACGTTCCTGGGCGTAAGAGTGGTCTATCGGATGATCATAAGGAATGGTGTAAGTGTAACAAGCCTCGTCAGAATGACCAAAGCCGGCCCTCATACCAACTCCCACTCCAAATGTTTTCAGCAGTCTCTGCATGTCATCACTCTCCAACATTTCTGAACTCCTAAGCCGGATTTCCTCGGCAAAGAAATCTTCCAATCCCTGCCCATTCCTTGGCCTAGACCAATCTGCTGCAAAACCTGACACTCCGGCTGTAGAGTTGCCAATTGGCATGTAATTCGTGCTACCAGGTAATAGTTCTTTTTGATTGTTCATTGTCATTACTGCATTCTGATCAGACCTTCCAAAGGGAAATTCAATCAACTGATGGACTGCATGGTGGGTATTATTATTCTGGCACTGTGGGCTTGGCTCTGAGGTGATATACTGCTGCCTAGTCTTCTGAGTAGTCGTGGTGTAGTAATCTGCATCGTAGTTGTTCTCATTTATTGATGCAGTTGAGGGATTTGTTCTCTTTGTACTTGCAAGGGAGTTGAGGACCTTGTCGTCATATTCTATTACTTGATGCCAATTTTCATATGCTCTCTTCACCAGGGAATCCACAAAAACCTGTAGGCAAAATTTCATGTCCATGAGTTAAATTTTTATTTGCTGGAATATCCAAGTGGGTAACATAAACAGTAATTTGCAGGTAAAATGCAGGCCTGGAGCTTATGTTATGAAAGGTGCACTGCCAAAGAGCTGAGTGCCATGAAGAAATTGATTACAACATAGCAGATGTGAGAGATCCTGACAATCCATTCATTACGCATTTTAAGGGAAAAACAGACATTATTCTCCCTGCCTGGCCCGGTCCAGCGCAAACCCTTCGGAGACATAAATAATTCTGAAGTTAAATCTAGTCTATCCTGTCAATATACTTCTATATTTTTTATGCTGCTTGTCGGTTCATCAGATATTTTGATGCAAGTTGCTTTCCAGTATCAATTTTAAAGAAAAGAATAGCAAAATAAATGTCGAGAAACGTCAGCAGCATTGCAAATATAAAGAAAATCTAACCTTTTGACTGTCGTTAAGTGATTCCAAAGGGAGGAATTGCCCATCAGAGATGAAGCCTCTGAGTTCATAAATGTGATTAAAAGCAACACCGGTGCTATCGGTTTGATCAATGTAGTAAATGTAAAGCTTTCCTCCCAAGACGCAAGTCTTAGCATGCTCCACCGTATTCTCCCACATTCTATTGGACATTCCGCTTCCCAGGATCTATATCAGGAATTTAAAGTGATTTAAGAATTATCAATCCAAAGAAAGAAAGACTTTGAATACAGAAGTAAATAGTCTATAAGAAGACATATTGAGAGGGGAAGGCAGAGATCTAAGGGAAAGGAAATCCCTTACATTTCTTAATCTCTGTGGATCCCTGACAAGAAGTCGAAGAAAATCTTCAACTGTTACAATTTCAGCCTTTAACAGCTTTTTATGTAATGCTCCATCCTTGGCTATTCTGTCCAATCTCCACACTTCATCATGCAACGCAGGTGGGTAATGTTTCTTGTACACTGCCAGTTTAAAAAAGGAGGAAAAATCATGACAACACCCAGAGTAATGCAAGTCAAACAGAAAAGCAGTAGGAAAATGCTGGACTTTGTAAAGAGCAGCAGCATATGAAATAAGTTCACCTAACTAAACTGGTTAATTGCATTAATCAAGGGGAGAGGACTACTAGAGTGTTATATAGCAGAGAAAACAACTGGAGAACTATTCAACCAAATGCAAAAGCAGTATATGGTATGATTCAGGACATGCAGCATGCAACGGTTCCTAGAATTGCCTACCAATCACAATGCAAAAGCTCTACTGGAATACTCACATTCTCCCCTATGATCTTTAACAGCAAAAGCCTCTGTTTTAGCCTCACGCACACGAATCCCTTCACAAAATCCAGGAGCAACCTTCAAACCAAGCCTAAATTTTCTACTCCTAATCCAGCTTGAATTGTCAGTGAAAATAAGATCTCCTAGAGTTCCAACTCCTTCCTTGAGGGTTACTTGTAATTCCCCAGTCAAAAGCGGCCTTTTCCCCTCACGCTCTTTTACTTCATAGTTCTCAAAGTGCTCTTTACTCCAATCCTCATCAGCTTCCTCATTGAAGTCACCTTCTAGCACCACAACATTCAGTTTGGCTGCTGATTCTGGTCCAGTTTGCACCACAGTGCCTGTGATCACGTCTAGCAAGATGACATGGATGGCTGCTCCTTGCTCACCCTCCACCTTCCCTCCTGTGAATAGGTGAGGCGGCATTCTTGTTCTGAATTGAAGTTGCAGGCTTCTTCCATCTGCACTTTGTAGTCTCGGTGGTGAAGACCTTTTATAGGTAGGACGACAATTCATTAGAAATATATGACACCCAATTCTGTTTGTTTAACAAATTGAGGAAAATTTTAATTACCAAAAACACATTTTTGTTCTTCCTATATAACTCATTAGGATTATCAGAATCTGTTTCAGGCATTCATCAGGATGTCTATCACTACATTTTATAAGCATCGTGAGGCTCAAAGAGAAAAAAAAAGAAATTCTAATTTTAATGCCCAAATATTGGTGTAGAAACAAACCTTCCAGTCAATTTGGCATTCCCTATTCTTGTCAAAGCCCGCTCCACTTCCTCACTGACCTGTAATTCATTCCAAATGCAGTATCAGTAAGAGAAGAGTCAAGATATAACACAAATATATTTCTTAGTACTGTTACGTCACTGAAGCAACAAAAAAAAAAAACTTTATCCTTCAGATACAAGCCAATATGAAAAATAGCTGAGGCAGTATCATAAACAAGCGCTGCTTATTATCCAAAAAAATTTACATAAGCAGCATGCAAACTTGGTTGGTGAGAACTGGCAATGTTCTCCAACCTTTTTCTTGATAAAAAACAACAGTAAGACTTCATTGAGTCAAGAAATAAGTCCAAGAAGGGATTGATGAATCCTCATTGCGCAACAATTTATACGGGAATAATTCTGCAATGGCCAAGTACTGCCAAGAAACATTTGACTCACAATTCTGCGTAACATAGGCTCCAAAGATGAGCAAAGTCTTTGCATACTATCCACCTTCAGAGCTTCCACTATTACACTGCAGGTAGATCAATTTGTATATCACAGGAGTGGACTTGCAGAAAAAGTTGACATTCAATCACGTGCAACAAGCATGTTAAAAAAAACTCACAACTCACAAGAATTAACAAAACTTGTTTCATGTATTTGATCTTGAACTGTGTGAAGTTATTGGAAAATCTAAAACAATTTCAATGAGAACTAAATCAACCCCCATAGATTTTGAATTGTTTTTTTGCAGAACTAAGAATGAACACATCAGTTCTTGACATAGCCATCTCCATAGCTTTCAGATTTATTGAATTCACTGAATCTTCTCTGGCATTTGAGACATACGAAAAACAAGAAAGAAAGAAAACTAGACGATCGCCTGAATCAAAAGGTCAAGCTTTTGTTTGAAGGTGTTCAACAGTGCAAGTAATCAGATACACATGTGGTCAAGAAAACCTGATTCAAGAACTCAGGCATATATCAGTCAAACTTGATCTCTAACACTAAATATTTCTTAGAAAGAGCAATCACGAATCACCCAAAGCGGTAGAGTCCATCAAGATCATCCAAAGCAATTCAAGCACTTCAGTCCAAAAGTCAAACTTAGTTTCTATGCTAGGTTAAAAACAATATGAAGATCGCCCATTAACAAAAGTTTGGAACTTGAAGAAGTACCTTGCCAAAGCAGGTAACTTTGGTTTTTTGGGTTCTGTCAGGTAGTCTGCATCTCCAACACCGTCCTCGTATCCTCTCTTGTTCCTTGAACTTTCCATATATGGAAACTTAACCAACTCTCTTCGACCTCTACTTTTAGTATTGTGACTTGGAGTTAGAAGGAAAAAAAGGAAAAAAGGAGAAACAACCCAAGATAGTTCTAAAGATCGCAGGAAGCTTGAAAGAGCAAAACTTTAGAACATAACTCAAAGTTTGCCAAATCAAAGTCCAAAGAAAGACCCCATTTATTATTTTTATTATAAAAAGAAAAAACCCCACACTTAATAACAATTATAGATCTAGATGCTGTAAAAATAACTAATATTACAGGACAGAAAGATCTGTTTTTGGACAGCGTTTTTTGGGTAGATCTAGATATGTAGTATTTTAATTTTCTTTTTGTTTGTGATGAAATATTATACTAATAGATTTGATATAATTGAAGAAGAACACAGCTGTGCTTTGAGGGTGAATGCATGAACGTTGAAAGTTGAAACCGCGTTTGTTGGTATCCTACTGTTGTTTTAACTCAATTGCTACGCATGTGGTATTTGACTTTTTTTGTCTTTCGTTTCTCAGGGAAAGTTAATGGTTGGTCCACGTATATCCATTGCTGACAATATTTACATGTCTGTCTGTTTGGATACGCAGAAAAGAAGAAAAATTCTACAATGATTTCAGATTAATGTACTGCTGAAAACTCAATGTTATCTGTCTACTTCATCCTAAACTCAATGAGTGAAATGATTGACCTGGGATCATTGTTGGGTCAAGTTCATCATCCATTTTCATCTTATTTTTGACGAAAAAAAATTCGAATCCGCTCATTAGACAAGAGAATTATATATTAATTAATAAATTAAATACTTGAATGCATCTTAAAATTTAATAAAAAAACTGAGATGATTCCATCTTCCTAATGTTCAAAATATTTTTCCCTTTGTCAGTGAGAGTTGAGTTACCACCCTCGATGCTTTTTTTTGTCTCTGAATACATGCAGACGTAACATATGTTTTGACTATGGCAGTCTCAGCCTCTCAGGCAGGGCAGAAAAGAAATTACCACTAAAGCTTTTGCGCAGGAAAGAAAAAGAAAAGACTTTCTTCTTTTGTAACTTTGCTCCAAGTGAAGAAAATGAGATGATATTATAGTAAGCGGTCCACTTAAACATGGCAGTTACAGGTGAAATTTCTTTAGAAACTTATATCATCAAAGGAATTCATGCAACTACAAATGGAGGATGGGAGGGAGAGACTGAGGGGGCCTTTTGCCCTTACAAGACTACTCAAGCAACTTGCTTGCCTGATTGAATAAAAATCAAGGTGGAATGCTTCGATTTCTTGACTAGGATATTTAGATGAATTATACAAACAGTTATTCCCCTTCCCATCCCATTTGTCGAGCTCTCTGCTCCCATAATGTTGTAACTTTCCTCTCCCTGATCAGCAAGGCCTCCGCCCGCTCTCTGGCCCCCTCACAGGTTTCTGTGGCAGCGATACATTTTTCCGCCTCCCTTTGGTACTGGGAAGCTACCCTTTTTGCTTCACCAAAGGTAACGTTCACATGGCGAGCATGCTCTGCTGTAACAGCTTCCTGCAACTTCAACTCCTCTGTAAGAAGGTCCACAAATTGCTTCTCCATCTCTTGCTTGAGATCAGGGTCATTGCTTCCACAATCTGTGTCACCATAATTCATATCATGCGTACATGATTGTGGTTTCACCAGATGAATGAACAAATTAATTACAAGACAAGAAGCAGGGCAATGACTTGATCGAAAATAAGAAGATGAATATGAAGAGATAAATCATGAAGTTAACAATTAGAGTTGATGGAATAAACTCTAACCTGTAACCGAGAGATTGGCCAACCCTGCAAAAGAATAACAAAAGCACAAGAAAACATATAAGTAATTTGAACAGATAACCAAAACTTGACACAAAATTTTACAAGCACAGCCCTTGTAACTAGCAGGAACACATAAAAACAAGGAAATCAACAGCATAAGGAGCTGCAGATTCTGCATGCCAGCTTATGATTACACGGTAGTACCGTACAAACACAAAAGAAGGCATACAATCGTGTGTGAAAGAAAGAAAGAAAACAGAGCTTGCATGTGTTTATCTAGGCAGGTTAGGAATGTAAGAAGTTCCCCCCTTCTTATGCCAGCTTATGATTACACGGTAGTATCATACAAACACAAAAGAAGGCATACAATCGTGTGTGGAAGAACAAAAAAAAAATAGAGCTTGCACGTATTTATCTAGGCAGGTTAGGAACGTTAGAAGTTCTCCCCTTCTTTTGAACACCAGTGTCAAGTAAGAGGCAGCTAGAATTTTGACATTTTTCAATTTGTGTTCATAATTTCTATCAACGTGGTTTGTGAAGAATTGAAACAGCCCAAATGCAAGTATCATTTTCATGATCAATACTGCATTTGTTCATATTCTGGTCACACACCACCACAATTGTTAATAAGTTAAAAAGCAAGATCAATAGTGCAGCAGCACAGCAAATAATAAATGAAATTCCTGAATTATAGTCAATTTCCATCATTAATGAAGAACTCATCTACATGATCCTGATGTCATTCTGAGTTTCAATGAAATCATGCAGTTTATTACTCTACAGAAGCTCACCAACACCGTTAGGCAAAGTATAACAAATTTCTATAAAGAGATCCGTATTAAAAGTTACCAAAAATTAGTCAAATCATAAAGGACCAAGGCAGGAAAACAATATCTTCATTCTAAAGTTATAAGAAAGAGATGGATTTTTAGAAGTCAACATGCTATGATATCTCAGTAGTCATTCTATAAAGGTAGAGATCATTTCAGTGCTGTTGAAGTAAAACCCAAAAAAATTGTTGTTTATACCTCCTTCCTTATTGCATGGTTATTTGGCCCCTAAATTCCAGAAAGGTTATCGCCTAACTCAACTTACTTCTTTATCATATGCATCAGAAATGGACCTAGAAGTGTCATTTTTCTTCCAATTAATATTGATAGAGTCATTCTGCACATAAGGAAGGAGGTACAAAGCAGAGAGCTCGGGTTCCGTAGGTAGTTACAATGAAAACAAAGCGGGCGCCTCTGAATTCCTCCACTCAATATATGATTAAACAAGCATTAATTTAAACTGAAATTTGGTTTTACGTGATTACATCCTGTTGGCCAAGCAAACAGATACCTCCAAAATTAGCAGCAGCAATAGATCAAAACCTCAAATCGAAGAAACAGGAATTTCTCGAAGGATAAAACTTAAATCTAAACCCAACTTGGAGCGCACCCTGTCACTCTGTAAAAACTAAAGAAAATGCAACATTCCCAAAGCTCAAAATGCAAAGTTAGCAACAAGAGCAGATCAAGACCTCAAATTTCCCAAAAGGGTATTCCTTAACTTCACTCCAATAAACAAAAAACCAATCAAAATCAAATTTTGGCAACAACCCAGAATCACAAAAGCAGAAAAACATGAAATTTGATTGATAAAATAAGAGGCCCTAAACAAGCAAGGAGTCATACCAGGGGCAATCTTGAGAAGGGAAAGAGGAGGAGGACAATCACAGATGCAAGGAGGACAAGAGGATTTGGAATCACCCAATCTAAGAGTTTTCTTGAATCTCCAATAAAGAGCTGGTCCACACACTCCCAATGCTGAAACTACAGCAAATATTACAAGAAATAACCTCAAGCAAGTCCCTGACCGTCGTGACATGTTTCTATCTCTCTCGCTTTAGTTTCTCTCTCTCTCTCTCTCTCTCTCTTTCTCTCTCTCTCTTTACTCTGTGTTTATGGAATAGTGAGATCTAACCAGGGATGCATTGATTGATGGCTAGGAATATATGAAATCTACTGCTTTAACTGTCCTTTTAATGGTTTTATTATTCTCATGCTTTATTTTTTTTTTCCTTTTTCATCTCTGCTTTTGAAGAGGTCAGTGTCAGCAGGCCAAATTTCATCCCACCATTTTCAAAATCTGAGGCGGAGGTGGTATTGACCCACCGTCACTAAAAAGGAAACTTATCCAGGCCCAACAAAAGCCATATGCAAAAACTCAATGTCTGATTCTCAGTGGTCATTAACCTGTCGGTTTTGGGCTTGGGTTGTTATTTTTTCTATTTTAAGAAAAACAATTGTCAGTCTGAAATTGGATAGATTAGTACTTGTGTATCATAGTAACAATTAGTTTGATGAGAGAAGGGTCATATCCGTTTTCTCTCAATAAAATTTGCAGACAAAGTTAATGTGTTAAGATAGATGTCTTCAGTTTCACATTGTCCTTGATAATCATAGTCTCTTTCTAGCAAATTATGAAGCTTTTGGGGAATGACGGGATGGAGGTTGGGAGAGAGTAGAAGGGAACAGCCAACACTCACTTGTGTCGGTGCCATCAGGCCCCAGGAAGGCCATGGCACATAGCTCACAGCTGTTAACTACAATTAGCAATACTTCTAGTCAACCCTCGATCCTGGAAAGGTTGGAATGCAATAGTTTTACAAGGTTTTTCATAAGATTGAGTGGACATGGCTTGGAGACATGAATTGCCTGAATTCTTCATGAGCTTAAAATGAGATGAGCATTTCTGCAATTTAGATGACACATACAGCTTCTGGGAAGGAGAGCTTCAAAACATTGATTGATGCAATTAACCAAGGTTTTACATCAAAACTTCTATCATCAATTTATTATGCATGCCTGACATCTGCATAGTACTCATTTAACCACTTTTGGATGATCTCAACTTCTTGCCTCCTCTGTTCAACAAGCCAGTCAGGGTCATCTTTTGTTGCGGACCGGAAATCAACATGGTGAGCTCCTAAGAAGGAAGAATGAGAGCGTTTCTTAAAGTTCATAACATTGACAAATGTGTCAAAAGAACAATGTAGGACAGAAATATTTTGTCATAATTCACATACCCTTTTCTGTGACAAGAGCAATGATGCTGGCAGATATATTTTTCAGCACGCTGTATGATTCAAATCATGTATCAGTTTCTTTATGACAAAAATCGTAATCTAAGAAGCTAAAGGAACAGTATGTATGGTCACCTGGTAGTCAGCATCTGATCTGTTTTACTGAATCAGAAAGAAAGAAAGGATTTAAAAGAGAACGACTTACCCTCCTCTGCTCCATGGATCCTGCTTTCCATTGGAAAATATGATATTGCTACCAAATCTCTTCAATACTTTATGAATTCTCTGCACAGGCAAGAGACAGTAAGTTCTTTATCTGCATCTTCTCGAAAATGGTATTTTTAAATAGAAGGAATTAAGAAGGAGAAACAAGGTAAAAGAAACTTACTTCGCCACCAAATTCAGTTGTGATCCAGTGTGGCCGAGGCAAAACTCCATATTTCATTTGGCATTGTTCTGCAAACTCTTCATAATCAAAGCCAGATGGAGGAAACATGCTCTCTTTAGAGCAAGTCATTGGTATAACCATCTCTGTGCATGTCTGCATAATCATTTATGCTACAATGCATTAGGGGTGAGTAATCAAACTCTAGTTAAACTGTTATATTATTCCTAAACAGATATTGAATATTTGACATAGTTTGAAACTACTTCCATAAATTAGTGATCACAAAGAACTAGATTAATTAAAGCTCATCAATCATCAGCAGGCTCCAACATGTACACTGATGCGATCTGAAATATAACTACATAGAAAAGGTAGTAGCAAGCGCTAAATTCCGGACAAATTTTGGATCAACAACGGACTACAGGAATACTGCAAATGTTGTGACCATGTCAGCTTTATGATCAATTCCTCAATAGGTCCAGTTACATCTGTCTCCAATCAACTTAATAAGCTTTGAAATTGGTACATTTTGTATTAGATACCAAACAAAATGTTTACCTGCCAGTCCCAACCATGAAGGCCATGTGTATCAACTTCATGTTCTATCTCAAAGCAATTTTCTGCACGAGAATAGTTGTAGTATAAGCTCGCAGCTGCAAAACTGCGACCAAGCTTTGCTGCTCCTGATGGAAATTTATCAATTATCTTGCACATCTGCATGTAAAAAAATGTTAAATGCCAAAAGAAAAAATCAAGAACAGACCTTCGAAAATGTTCAAACTTAGAGCTTGCAACAAACCAGCTCATTTACACAAGTCTTACCTCCTGCACAGGATAAGCAGGTAATGGCTTCAGGAAATTTGCTTCAGTTGGATAATTAACCATGGCTGTGTAAACAAACGCAGTCCATAGCCAATCTCGAGCAGAAGCAGTTGAATGAAGGCTCCTGAACTTTGAAGAAAGAAATATAATTAATTTTCAGGAAGTAAAATACATCATATGAATTGCTTCAAGGCATGAGAAATGTTAAACATGGTTGAAATTGCTGGTCATTAGCTTGGCTGAAGGTAAGAAGAATTTTTATGGAAAAACTGAACTTCATGCACAATTGTACCAATGAAAGTTGATCCACAATGTCCCCAGAGTACTTAAGAAAAATTTTCAGCAGGCTTATTTGGATTTCAGGACTAAATCAAAGCAGGACCCCGAAGAGCAACTCTTCTTATTAAACCCTCAACTTTTAACTGCCTAATCTTGGCTGTGCTAATTCTTGACTCTGTTGACCTCCACCTCCCATTAGTGGTCTCATTACACCTAAATTGCTTCATTATCATATAATTCCTTCTTGGAACGTTTACTAACTGCATAGATCTGATACCTTCTTCCCTTGGGCGGGGGAATTATTCCTACAAATGAAGGCTTACCCATTGCATAATCAAGCCACTTTTAAAACAATCTAAGGATCAGAATTAAACTCCAGAAACCAATTTACTGAGTACAATCCTGTTTTCATGACTCACTTGCAGGTTCTGAAAGCTTTGCTTAGTTCGGCCAAGGCTTCTTTCTGAGTTGACATTGCCTCCAGTTCTTCCCAGCTCCCCTTTATCACTTCATAGCAATTCCAGCTTACATCCTGAATGCCCATGTTAGTTACAGAGGAGAATTGAAGAACAGAAAGAAATTTATAGTTCAAGCACAGATTCATCTCTATGTGAGAACTAAAGATAGACCTTGAAATCCTGAGAAACAGCATCATAGAAGCTTGACCATGGAATTATCTTATCAAACTGTAATATAGGGGCTGAAGAAGCCAATGCACCAATTGCTATATGAGGGTATTTAAGTCTAAACCACGCTGCCAGCACTGCAGAAAGAGAGAAAATTTTCATTAATGACAGGAGATCATAGAAACAGTAAAAAGAAACAGCAATATAACCATTTTTCTGATCAATTCACGTCAAGTACCAGTATACCAGTATCCCACGTTCACACCAGTTACCAATAGATGTTTCACTGATAAAAGATGTTCCTTGAAATTCTTTACTATGATAAACAAGTGCGACTCAACTAGAAGCAAAAGGATGTTCTTTGCTAATTGCTACCAATATGAAAGATAGAAATGCTCTCTTTAATCCATACATCATAGCCATAACATCTTGAAAAAGACTAAGAAAATGAAAGGCTATATGGGGTGGTTTCTGTTGAACTTACTTCCTCCATAAGACCCACCAAAGACCACGACAGGGGATGCTTCAGATGACAGATTCTGCTTCAAGTTCCTTATCAAAACTGCAAAATCAGCCAAGGCTTGCTGTGAATTCAAGAATCCCAACGTTTTCGCTGACTTGTACGATTCCTTCCCAAATGGCATTGACTCCCCATAAAATCTATGCTGAAAAATCCCAACAAAAATACTATGAGTTACAAAAGCAAAGATAGTGTTTTTGAGAAAGACATGGGTTTTAGGATATGTTTTCGGTTTTGGGAAAACACCCACGGAGTTACAATAGACCAGGGTATTTTCTGTGTTTTCAAGAACACCAAGAAACTATTTTTAATGCTGTGAGTTACTCCCAAATAACTTTTTTCTTTTAAAACTAAGATTATGGAATCCCGAGGAAGTGATTTTGCAAACGTTACTTCGATGAAGACAAGTAGAGCTTTGAACTTGGGAGCAATGTCAAGCATGAACCCGGTGTTAGCAGCAAACCACTCAATATCTCCTTCATTTCCAGTGTAGACAAAGATAGGAGCGCCTTTGTGCCAGTAATGACTGTTGATTAGGTACTTTTGGTAGAAAAGTTTGGAGCTCTTGGGCTGGAACGTGAAGTGATCTAAAGTCTGAGGGAAGTAGTGAGCCTTGAATGGAAGCTTTGGTTTTGGAGTCTTGGCTTGTTTGATTAAAGATTGATAGGTAGCTCCAGGGAAAAAGGTTGGTAATGAATTGGCTGGAGTTGTTAGTGTTGCAGAAAAAGTAATGAGGAATAGAAAGAAAAGAGATAGGCTGGAAGCCATTATCTCACAAGAAGTAGAGTGCCGGTTCTGGGCTGCTACTTCCTTGCCTTCAGCCTTCACATGGGTTACATCTTTTGTAAGTTAGAACAGTTGGGGAAAGGTAGAAGTTAAAAAAGATCAGTTCTAGATTCTGTGTACATGGATGGTTATGGACCATGAAGTGCGCTAAACCTTTTTGAGTTGAATAGCACTAAGTTGTCAGCTAACTGACAACTGCCAGCCGAGACTAGAAATAGCAGATTAGCAGGTGACCGGAGAAAATTGTCTTGAATAAGCATCAACCAGATCATAAAAGAACAGACACTAGAAAATACCAAACATGTTATAATTCAGGTAAGGCCAAGAAGAGCAGGATGCCAATTTCTAAATTAAAATAGGGGGTTAAAAACTCCTGGGATAAGGTTGTTGTGGTAGGGAGGGGCCTTGATTCCAAACAATCAAATTATTATCAGTATTTCCCAGTCAGACTTAATGTACAAAACGCTTACTCAATAGATGGACCTTGAAAAGTGTGACTCTCTAATCCTAGAGCAAATGCAACATCTTGGAGACATGAATCCCCACTATTTAGAGAAGTTGGCAAGCTTAATTATCAAAAACAGAAAAAATGTTGGTAGTTTCAGCGTTGACATCAAAAGAGATAGAACTAGAATTGACCCCATGGCCATGAGAGACACTAGCTAGGGTCCAAGAAAAATAATGCATGTGCTTACAGCTTCCAGAGAAAAGATAGAACCTGCCCTTTGCCAATATCTAGATTGTCAGATCAATTCTCTGGCATCAACATTTTTTGTAATTGTTGGTTTTTCTTAAGGACAGCTAGGTGGTATTCAATATTAGGTTCAAGTGACCAAAAACAAGAAGATTAATCATGGTAGGCTATCTGTTTTTATGATACTTCAAACCCAATATAAGACACAATTTCTTTTTCCAGCTAAATAACAGAGAGAAACTTTGAAGTTTGGCAGGAACAATAAATATTACTCCTACTACTATCTGTTTTCAGTATGCTAAAATTCAATAATAGAGTTTCTTTTAGTTGGATGTGATATCAATTCAACTTTCTTGTCTTCAAGAGCTTCAACTTGGGGGGTTCATTACCATTTATAGAGGTTAGATGTTAATCAATTATCAAACCAAAGAACAATGCTGCTTTCAGTTTATTTACATGAATATCATAACATCTACTAGCATTAATTTCTGACTGAGATGCGCCAAAAATATTGAAGACTACATTGCCCCAGGGACCAACCTATTTACTTGACAGTAGTTGTTCAACGGTAAAAGAAAATCTCAGTTGGCCTGCCAACCTTCATTTCTTTCCATCCAATGAAATGAAAACTAAATGCAACACATTATACATGATTAACACATCTTGTCTTTGTTAAAGGACCCATCATTCACTGTTCAAAGGAGATTAGTGGGCAATCATCATGAAAGTTCTTTATCAATTTTGAATTATTGCAGACTCTCAATCAAGCCATTCATATTTTCTTTTGACCTGACTTGGTCATATGCTCCTAGAGAAAGTCTAGCTTGTCTTGCAGCTTGTAAGCAAATATCAATGTCCTGTCGACCTAGCCCGCAATCAAGAAAGTCTCACTAGTCCTGAAATCAAACACCAAGGTCCTATTGTGTCTCACTTCCTTGATTTGTTATTGAAATCTACCTTTAACTTTGGAATGCTATTTTGATCTAGACTAAAAATTGTAAGACTATAACTGTTCCCTTAAACAGAGTCAAAGGCTCCCAGAAGAAATCTGGCGGTTTGATTTGTTTAACCATTCAAAGCATACACATGTTAAGATAGTTACTCTTCCACGTCTAATTTAAGGCTCTCCACTGCACCAGGAGTATCTCTCTTTATTGAAACCTCCCAAAAACCTGACCAAAATCTGTGGTATTTGTAACAAATTGGGCAATGCAAGCGGTGAAGAAACTCAATATCAAAAGGTACATGGGAAGATGGTATGAGATAGCTTCATTCCCATCAAGATTTCAGCCCAAAGATGGGATGAACACAAGGCCTACGTACAGTTTAAATGAAGATGGAACTGTGAATGTGCTCAATGAGACTTGGTCTGGCGGCAAGAGAGCATACATCGAGGGCAGTGCCCACAAGGCAAACCCCTGCAGCAATGAGGCCAAGCTCAAAGTGAAATTCTATGTGCCTCCTTTCTTGCCCATTATTCCAGTTATTGGGGATTATTGGGTTTTATACATTAGTGATGATTACAAGTATGCTTTGGTTGGCCAGCCTAGCAGGCAGTACCTTTGGGTATACCTTTATGACACTCTCTCAAATCTGTGTATATACTAGTATGTTTATGCAATAAAAGATTTTATAGTAGCATTTCCTGAAAAAGGGTGTCGGGCCAATGAGCTGGATTTCACTTTGAGTATTTGATTCTCTTCAGTTATGTTTTGTTGTGTTGCTTTTGTAGATATTATGCAGGCAGAATCATCTTGATGATGAGATATACAACCAGTTGGTACAGAAGGCTGAAGGTGGGGGGTATGATGCTAGCAAGCTGCAGAAGACACGACAAACTGACCCTCCACCAGAGGAAGATAAAACTAGCCCCGAGGACACCAAAGGCATTTGATGGATCAAATCCAACTTTGGGAAGTAGGAATCAGTTACTGATAATCTTGGTCCTAAAAGGTAAGTAGCAATAAAAAAAAAAAAGCTGGAATGATTACGCTCAGATAGGGGTGTGGATCAGCTTTTGTTTTCTTTCTCTTTTAACTTTGTTGAGAAATAAACCCAGCCTTGGAAGAGTTACAGATATCAGTATCATTTGTTAGACATGATTCCATTTGCAGTATTCTTTCAAACAATGGCATTTTGGCACTTGCCTTTTCTGTTAAGATAGGATAGCCCCATAGCCACTAAGAAACAATCTAAGTCCTTCAATCAACTGTACTGCAGCCATTTCGGCAGGACTTGGTCCAGGCCCACTCGAATAACCACAGTCCCCCATGGGCATCCAAGCTGCATCAAATATTGAATGCTTGGGCTTCTAATTGAGCTTCAGCAAGACCTTACAAGCCTGGGCATGGATTGTTATGTATGGTGCATGGACAGTTCTACTTGCTACTTTGTACTATTTGATTGAGTCCTGTAAAAGCCCAAAGAATGCAGCTATCTGTTGCTAGATGGAAAATACCATCAAAATCTTTCCTCTCTCCTGAGGTGAACATTAGCTGAAATCGACTAATTTGACTATTCTACGTCCTTTTCTTCCTCCTTAAGTTTGCTTCTTAGCAATCTCAACATGACCCAAACCTGTTCGCACTTCCCATAGATGGGACGGCCTAGAAGCTTCCATGTGCATCTGGTGGTTACAACCAGACATAAGTACACATGCAAGGCCCTTAGTCCTCCACGTCTCACTTGAGAATCTCCATTGCACCGAACATTTTTTCTTATATTACCTTATCAAGAATCATCAAAAAGCAGATTACGAACCCGTATTAAACCCCAACCAAAATCTCTCCTCTCTCGCGATCTAAAACAGGAACCTGGAACAATGTCCCAGAAAGCAATGGAAGTGGTAAAGAATTTGGACATCAACAGATACATGGGAAGGTGGTACGAGATTGCTTCATTCCCGTCGAGGTTTCAGCCTAGGAGTGGGGTGAACACGAGGGCTACCTACACTCTGAATGAAGATGGAACTGTCCATGTGCTTAATGAGACTTTCACTGATGGCAAAAGAGGGTCTATAGAAGGCACTGCCTACAAGGCTGATCCCAAGAGTGATGAGGCAAAGCTGAAAGTCAAATTCTATGTTCCTCCATTCTTGCCCATCATTCCTGTTGTTGGGGATTACTGGGTTTTGTACATTGATGATGATTATCAGTATGCTCTCATTGGTCAGCCTAGCAGGAAGTATCTCTGGGTATATCTTTTATTCTCTCAATCTCTTTTAAAAGTTTTAACAGTTTAAACCCAGACATAGTCTGAGTGCATACAGGAATGTCAGCTGGAATTATAGAGGATGCTAGCATATTAACCTGAATTCTTAGGATAGATTCTACTCAATTATAGAGGAGAAAAAATTGAGAGGAGAAAGTGCTAATGTAGGACAAGAAATCAACTGACTGTTTCTATTGGGATAATTGTAATTCCTTAACATAGCTCGAGAAATAATTGCTGCGAGCATTGATTGGTTGTCTTGGAAAAATTTTGGTTGTTTTGTTGTAGATTTTATGCAGGCAGACACATATGGATGATGAAATCTACAATCAGCTGGTGCAGAAGGCCAAAGATCAGGGCTATGATGTGAGCACACTGCACAAGACCCCACAAAGTGATACTCCACCAGAAGGAGAGGAGACCCCCAAGGACACCAAAGGAATATGGTGGATCAAATCCATTTTTGGAAAGTAGGACTCAGTATGAATATGACAACCTTATGGTTTAGTATAAATATGCAAATAAAGCATTGGATCAAAACCCAGTTTGTAGCATAGGGCCTGCAGTCGATTCCCATCTTTGTCTTTGTTACATGTAAAGAATAGAGTGTGTGAACTCATCTTATAGCTGTATGCAAGTTTGGCTTGGTGTGTAGGGTGAAGCATGAGGGAAGGATTATAAGACTTGTACGCTATAATTAATCGACTTTGTTGGAATCCAATGATGAACAGTTGCATATCAGGGTGCAGTCTTGAGTCTCGTCCCTTCTCCGATGTGACAGCATGCTTGTCGTTATATCAAATAAAGCAATCGGGAGTCAGGATTAAGCTTCCCTCCTCGCTGAAACCATTTTTGCATTTATGACAGGCGAAATTTCTAGTAGAAAATACATTCATATGCCCATCTGATTCAACCTCATCTACTTCCGAGATATTACACAAGTGCACTTTTCTCCACCCGTGCTCAATCTATGGTGATTTAGACCGTATTTAATGATGTAATCTCTCGAACCATTTGTACAATATCCATCATTTTGGACCCTGTAAATTTCACTGATTAAAATGACATAATTGTATAAGATAAAACATTTCGGGAAATGTGACCCGTGACTTAATGCTTTCAGAATGATGTGTTTGTTCGTGTACGCAAGGCCTGAGCGAAGCAAAAATGTCACCTGATCCGCACACAGCAAGCATTGGACCTTCGAAGGGTCAATCTATTAGCAATAAAGATGGATGGAACAGAAGAAACAGACTTGAGCAAACAGGCCAAAGATAAAGTATACTATTATCATAACAGAAGGACTGCATACATCCAGAAAAACCAAGAAATGAAATCTACTATATGTCGGAAGAGAGTCGTACAAGTAATAAAAATATTTATAATAGGAAAATCTTCTTGTAAACATTTTGGTTTCCCTTCCCTCTTCATACCAGAAAGAGAAAGCCACGGAATTCTCTCAAACAATCAATTGATAAAACCATATAAACAAGTTACAGTCACCATCTTGTCATACATCAGCTTCAGACGCTAGAACAAGTGAATGCCGTCACAGCACAGCCGCTTTCACCACAAGTTTAAAGTATGGTACAACATTGATTGGTTTTCTTAGCCTGCTTGTAGAACATCTGTTTCAATACATCAAAATTAGGTCTGATGTCAGCAACAATATATGGTTGTTCGATCGAGTATGGATGATGATTACTCGGTGAAATAAAATGGATTTCAAAAATTACACTCCATCGGGGATAAGGGTATAATTGTCACAAGCCCACCATTTAAAGAAACAATATGGGTATGCTGACTAGCATAATGATATCAATTTACAGTGTAGTGAAGACAACAAAAAGTCTATCACAGAAAAACAAAAAGGGGGATCAGGACAAAGTAAAACTAACACTAAACTAGACAACTATTAATAAACGTGAAAAAAAGGAAAGAAACATGGGCCTTCCAAAGTACGGCTATATGCATATGTATATTGGTGAATGCATATGGGATTACATGAAGTCTTGCACATGTACCTGAGATGCCGCACTCAGATCCGAACTCTTCTCAACTAAACTGTCCAGCCTCTCACCTCTTGCAAGCACACTGTCAATAGTTTTATGCTGCATCAAAGAAATAATGATTTCTATGAATGCAAGAAGAAAAAATAATCAATCAAATTCTGACACAAACATAATAATTCTTCAACATTTCATCTACAGGTTACACTTTTAAACAGCAAACTTTAACAGAAAAGTACTAGACATGAAGAAAATACAAGGAATGAATTCGGCATAACTAACATAGGTTGCTATTTAAATCATCAGCTAGCCAATATTCGTTAAAAATCCTCAAGTTGAAGAACGAAGTGAAATTGAACACACAGCGTTAGCTGCTTCATGTGCCAATTGCCAAACGTATCAAACAATGACACAATCTGTTGATATATCTGTAATCAATTCCACAAGGAATTACTGCCAGCCATTAGCAATATTTGCAAGTATGAACGAATTTGCACAAACCATATGCAAAGAATGGAAACTGAATTTACTTCAGTTGGCAGTAACAAAAAACCTACGTCTCTTTTCTTAATAGCCACTTGGCAGTTGACATGACAAAAACTTGAGTATTTCATAACATATTTCTCCCCACAATGACAACTAGGCTGTAACTATAGCTCAAACTCATTTTGGCACTTTCCAGTCAACTCTGTGACAACAGAATATGAAACAGGAACAATTTAACAAACCAATAGACTTGCAAATTGTACTCCTATCATCCCACCAAAAAAACACTAAATTAGTTACCACAACATCACTCATAGTTACACAACATCAATTATGACCTTAACTAGTTTGCTATTATAAACAAATCCTTCTATGAAAAGTTATCAGTGTATCACAATATTAAATCAAAAACAATTTCAATCTAAATCATGTGTGTTGTATGTTACACAATCAACAGTCAAAAAAAGTATGAATCATCAACAAAATGATAATTCTAAGGTGAAGATTGCATGGTATAATAGCTCAAAGCTCAAGGGAAAGCACACAAAATCATCAAATCTATGCAACAGCAACGGCGAAATACTTACCAGGATGATTTTAGTTTCATCCAACTCCCTCTGAATTTTCAATAATTTATCTGCCTCTGCAGGGTCCTGAAGATGAAAAAAAGTGTGTTCAAAAAGGCTTTTCAAATATAACTCCTCTATAGCTCCAGTGCATATCCTTTAAAAATAGCTTCTAAGAAAGTATAACTCCACATCCTGAATTAAAACTACAGCTGACATGTAAGAGAAAGAAAACAGATACCTGAAATTTGGTCAAAGCTTCATTCAAATAGGGCCAAGGTTGAGTGCTATCAGCTTGCACAGTCCTCCATGAATCCCCAAAATTTTTCTGATATTCATCTAGAACCTGCCAAAGATTATGCTTTGAAATTTATCAAAGAAACTAAACAAGATACTAGCTAACAGATAAGCTTCTGAAAATCAAAGCGAAGAACAAGGAAAAATAGATACATACCCGATGTGATCGTATGTAAGCCACAGACTCTTGACATCATCTTACAATCTTAATGCATACATAAATACAATATCTTCATCCACCTATCCATCTAGTTATCACTACCAGATGCAAAGAAAAGGGCAACAGAACCTCTATCTATCTATCTATCCACAACATGAAAAGGATAACCATATCCAACACATGTGCCAAGCAACAAGCACAAACATGAGTGCATTACTAGTGAACATCCACAAAAAACTAACAGTGTTTAAAAGAAAATTTACTGTCAGTGATACTTTTGTATAATTTCTTGAAACCCGGGACTAACACAAGAAGCGAGACCCTTTAAATTGTAGTCATACAAGCAATGCAAAACACCAGATATTGCAGTCCACAAGATTAGATGACACTGAAGCATAAAGCAAAATATGAGACAGAGAAAATGGAGTTGCACTTTGTTCCTATACCTGGTTGAGAAGCGAAAAAGCACTTCGAACTGGATAGTGATCATCCATAAATGCCAAGGCACAAAGCCCATTTCTGTTGTAAGCATGTACCTTGTACTCTAAAATTACATCACCAAGCAACAAATTACAATCATAATTCTCATATTCTCATCAAAATCAACTAAAATCATATTCTCAAACCTAGAAAAGTTACGAAATTCACAAAACTAACAGATCACATATACATCTAAGGTCAAACCTTCATTACTCGCAAAAAACACATTCGAATTATGATTTCTTTTACTACTAAAATCACTTTTTTAAACATCAAAATTTCCTCGCAGAACAGATCGAAAAATTCACAATCCAATACAAAAGATCCAAACACGGTCTTAGTAATATAAAAGCCAAGATATTCATAATTAACAGAACAAAATTGAAAAACTCAATCGGGTTGAACCGGAAGGAGAATAATTGGAAAAAAAAAACGGGACGGACCTTCGTGCTGGACGGACTGGCGCTGACCGGGAGGGGTACGTTTGGCGACGGTTCGAGACACAAACACTATAAACTCCTTGACGCTAGACCTTTGGAAGTAACCGAAATGGCTCACATCGGTTGTGTTCGCTAGTATTATCGGATCGGATCCTTCCGGATTGCACTTCAACACCAATAACGACGTGATCTTCATCTTCCTCTTTCTCTCTCAATTCTCCCAAAAAGCAACAATTAACAATAACAAATTTCTATTTCTTTCTCTCTCTCTCTGCGAAAAATTCTTCTTCTTTGTTTGGTTTCGTGTGTAACAGCTCCTGCCTATTAGATTCGCGTGAGGAGAGGAAAGCAACCAAGAAAGAATGGGAATAACCGAATAGGGATCTGGTGTGGTCGCGGCTTTGTTCGGATTCCTTGTAATCGCTTGGCTGGCTCGCATATAATCATGTGCCGACACCAAAAAAAGCCGCTGCTAGAAGTTTGACGGATCAGGACCGTTGATCTATTTGGACCCACTAGAATCTAACGTTATTGGCCGTCCGATTTTCATAATTGTACATTTCAAGCAGGACCCACCCTGTCCTGTTAAAACCCAATCGACTTGTGAAGTTTGGGCTTTTTCGGCCCGCTTGGATGGTAAGCAGGCGAAAGCCCAATGTCTCTCTCTCTTGAATTTAAGGATTATTTTTTTCTTTTTAGATAGAAAAGGAAATTAAATTAAGAGCTTATTATCCCTTTCATTTTTTTTATTATAAATTATGAAAACTATCAAAATCCTATAAAAAATAAATCTGATATTGGGTTAAAAAAAGAGCTATTTCCAAAATATAAATAAATGAATAGAGAGAAAGTCCTTATCAAATTCTCTATAAAAAAAGGTTGCAAGTTGTTGTTAATAGGTAACTGATGAGAAATAACTAGGTTCCAACATAAGATGCCATGTTATTCACTCTTTTAATTATTCAAGATATTTCTTTTTTTTTTTTGGTCAAACAAGATCCTTTATGTTTTGGAGTTATGTTAGAAAACCCATTTATTTTCCCAATTTTTGAAGTTACCAAAATAAGCAAAAACGACCAATTTCCAATACCACATGACCAAACTTTTTTTTTTTTCAAAATTGGGTTCAATTCAGTACAAAATAAAAAAATATTTTTGATGAAATTTTTCATTAAAATTTCATAAAAAATTAGTCAAAAAAAAGTGTTTTTAACGAATTTTTAACAAATTATTTCGTAGGATTAATTGATGTCTAATATCGGTTGCAATTGCATGTCTAATAAACAAAAGAGGAACATTTTACAATTCAACGGATTAGTCTTTCTAAAAGAAAGTAATGATTCCAGTGACATGTGTATACATATCTCATTAGATTTTTAATTGTTTAATTTGAAACAATTATAGATTAAAAATTCGTTACGTTATAAACCGTATGATGTAATTACCATAGTTGAGCTCCAATTCTTTCTTCTAATTTTAAGCCTTGAACATGGAACAGGATGAACAAAACACATCTTAAAAGCAAAACAATAAACAAGGTTTGAGGAAGGGAAGTGGGAGTTTCAAAAAACGGTTAAGCCGTTAGTTGTTTTTGGAGTTGTCCTTTCCCGCTTAAGTCATTTGTTGTCCAAGAAAGCAGGAACAAGAATAGCAAATAACTATGAGCCCCCTTTAATATAAAAGAAGAAGAAAAGAAAAAAAAAAACTGGTCTCTCACTTGAAATAAATTCTGACCAGCTATTAATGCCAAAACAATTTGTGGGGAGTTATTAAAGAACAACTTTAAACCAGTTAATCTCTCTCTGCCTCTCTTTTGTTTTTTTTTTTTTTCCATTACATTCCCTTTGAGAGTTTCTTCCATAGTTTATGTGAAACTTGACAGGGGAATGTTCTTTCCACACATCTAATCAAGGTTCATGTAAGTTCAATTTCCCTTTTTTTTTTTGGTTGGGAGAAAAGGGTAGACAGGATTGTGTGATATATGTTTGATGATGATGTTTCTGTTGCTTAAATGGTTATAAAGAGATTGGGTGTTTATCAGATTCTGGCTTCATGGATTTAAGTGACTTGTGACATCAGATGAAACATGTATCAGGAAAAAGTTCTGACATGAAACTCACAGAGTTGAGGTTATGCACCAGGATCTGAAAAAGAAAATGTTGATTGTTTCAATCAAATGAACCGATATATGAATGGTTCTTTTTTATGTCGATTGGCTGACAAATGATAATCTTGTGAATAAATTGCAGGAATTTTGGAGGAAAAATGATCAGGTGTTTGCTTTTCATTTCCCTGTTGATCCATGCTTCTTTGGCTAAAAAACAAGCTCCTCAGGCCGCTGCGGCTCAGGCTCCTGTCAAGAAATGGCAGACTTTAAGCGGTAACACTATTTCTTTCCCCTCCTCCTTTGATAAACAAATAGACTTGCAAAGTGAACAGAGTGGTGAATTATGATAATCCCTTGTGTTTCCTGTTTGGTCTTCAGGTCAACCACCCCTTGTGATTGCTCGGGGTGGATTATCAGGGCTTTTTCCTGAATCTAGCTCATTTGCAAATGACATGGCCAATCAGTTAAAATCTACGGATGTGGCTTTGTTCTGCAATCTGCAGCTGACAAAAGATGGCATCGGCATTTGCCTCTCAGATATCAGGCTTGACAATTCAACAACCATAGGGATGATCTTCCCAAAAGATTCCAAGACCTACAACATTAATGGACAGCAGGTGAAGGGTTGGTTTGCTGTGGATTACACATCTGATGTAATATTCAACAATGTGTCATGTGAGTCTCAAATCTTCCTACTTTATTAGCAATGTCTTGTTTTTTATTCAATGAAAGAACGGTGAAGAGGGTCAAATTGGTGTGAAGTCACAAATTTATAAGGCTTGAAGATAAGAATTCAATTTTAGTTTTTGGTTTAAACTTCCTGACAACTTCTGCTTTGTCATGTTCTTTCCCTGCCAGTGGTTCAAAGTGTATTGTCTCGAACAAATGCATTTGATGGTCAACTGCCAATATCTACTCTTGAGGATGTCACAGGCGTTAGACCCTCATCGTTTTGGGTGAATGTTCAGGTTTCATATTTCTCTTCAAGCTCCTTTTAACTTTCATTACGACCTTAGAAAGAAAACACCTGAGAGTAACTCAACAGGTGACAGGACCTCCCTGATTGGTCTCTTCTATCTTGCAGTATGACGCTTTCTATACAGAACACAAACTCAGTGTGTCAGGATATCTAGAAAAGGCTATGAGATTTATGGGGATAAACTTCATTTCATCTCCTGAAATTGGTTTCTTGAAGAACATGAACGGAAAAGTGAACAGAGCGAGGACAAAGCTCATCTTCCAGGCCCTTGATCCAGATGTAGTTGAACCCACAACCAAACAAACATACGGTGCAATATTGAAGGATCTTGCAGCCATCAAGACATTTGCATCAGGGATTCTTGTCCCCAAAGGATACATATGGCCCGTTAATACAAACAAATACTTGGGAAATCCTACTACTCTTGTGGCTGATGCTCACAAGCTTGGCCTAGAAGTCTATGCTTCTGGCTTTGCAAATGATATGCCAGCAAGTTACAATTATAGTTATGATCCAACAACTGAATACTTGCAGTTCATCGATAGTCCCCAGTTTTCTGTCGATGGGTTGCTTACAGATTTCTCTCCGACAGCATCAGCAACCATTGGTGAGCTTATCAAATGCTCTAGTGCTGTGCCATTTGTCTCTGTTCACCACAAATCTTATGTAAATATATCAAAGAACAATCATTCAACCAGTGAAACTTGAGATTAACCCCTTCAAATGGTAATTTTTGATGCAGCATGCTTTGCAGCCAATGAAACCACCAAGCCTAAGAAAGGTAAATGCTAATTTTGAATCCTTCAAATAAGTTTTCTTTCTGCAACATTAATGTTTATAGATACTTTAGCACAAAATATAATGTTTTCCTACGATTTTGTTCCTTTACAGGGAAAGCTTTGATCATAACTCACAATGGAGCAAGTGGGATGTATCCTGGTTGTACTGATCTCGCTTATGAGCAAGCAGTAAACGATGGAGCTGACATAATAGACTGCTCAGTCCAAATGTCAAAAGATGGAGTAGCTTTCTGTTTGGATTCAGCCGATCTGACAGGGGATACTACTGCGATGCCTACCTTCATGTCTCGCTCTTCCTCCATACCCGAAGTTCAAAAAGAGAAGGGAATATTTTCATTTGATCTTACATGGAGCGAGATACAAACCTTGAAGCGTAAACTTCTTAAACACGTTGCTACATACAACCATAAATTTTCGATCTTTTAGTACTCCCACTAATGGTATCTCTGTCTTTCTTCAGCTCAAATTGTGAGCCCTTTTGGACAAAATGCTGGCTACCAAAGGAACCCTGAAGCCCAGAACAAGGGTAAATTCATGACACTCGCAGACTTCTTGGAGTTTGCTAAGGCAAAGGCAGTTTCTGGAATCTTGATTAACATAGAAGTAAGAACTCTTAATTTTTCTAACACTCTTGTTCCAACTTCCAACATGCAACTCACATTTCTTCACAAACATAATCATTCACCCGTAGCAGAATCTGTAGAATTTAAGATTTATTTACATCAATCATGCCAGCTTTCATTCTTTACCACTGTCACAAAATCCTAACACTTAATGCCTCTCCAGAATGCTGCTTACCTAGCATCAAAGAAGGGTCTTGACATGGGAGATTCTGTTACCAAAGCCTTAGGTAATGCAACCTTTGACAAACAACAAACTCAACAAGTTTTGGTCCAGTCAGACGACACCTCAGTGTTGTCCAAGTTCCCAGGTGTCCCAGCCTACAAAAGATTGTTACGCATCAAAGAGGAGATAGGTGATGCGCCTAAACTGGCAGTAGATGAAATCAAGAAGTATGCTGATGGAGTTGTTGTCGGAAGACCTTCCCTGATTTCAACTGATAATGGCTTTACCCAGGCTCAAACCAACGTTCTCCAGGAAATGCACGCAGGAAACATCTCAGTATACGTCTTTGTTTTGAGAAATGAGTTCGTCGCCCTTCCATTCGATTTCTATGCGGATCCCATGGTGGAGCTTGCTACCTATGTTGCTGCGCTAGAAGTTGATGGGGTTATAACCGACTTCCCTGGAACTTCCAGTCGATATATGAGTGAGTGCTTCGAATGCTATTTTTGATAACAAGTGATGATTTGATTATATGCAAAGCAACGTAACATGTGCTACAAACTTTGGCTTTGGTGCTGCAGGGAGCCCATGCGTGGATCTCAATGGAGAGATTGCCATCATACCAGCTGAACCTGGTGCGCTGCTTAAGCAAGTTCCTCCCATGGCATTGTCACCAGCAAATCCCCCCAATCCCCCCCTCGAGGTTGCAGATGTTGTTGACCCTCCACTTCCGCCAGTAGCCAATGTGTCATCATCCACAGCAGATTCACCGGGTGCACCTGCACCTTCTTCCAGTGGAATGGCGATTACTGCCAACTTTGGTCTTGGTCTAGCAGCAATTATGGCGCTCAGCTTACTCTCTCTGGGATATTGACCTTTAATGCCTATCAACTCTAGCCACTTTGATTTTTTTTTTTTCTCCTACAGCTTAAAAATTTCATGATATAATTTTCTGTTTGTCATCTTAATATTTCATGGTAATTTGTACTATAGCGAACAGACAACTGGGATAAGTTCTCAAATTCTCATACCACATGAATTTCAATTGAATCTCTGATCCATAGCCTATTCTCCATTTCCTTTTGCTTTTCTTTTAATTAGGTAACCAGTAGCCAATTGCAGTATGTTGGATTGGAAGGGAACTTGAAATCTCCACTATGATAGTAAAATCTTATGGAAATTCATGCTTTAGCTAGATAAATTACAATTCTGCATCACATCAAAATCATCCATCTGTTACAGAATATGCCAGAGTGTACGTCCTCCACCAGGCAGGAAAACGCAACCAAGCAACACCAAGCACAGAACCTGGAGAATTAAAAAAGGAAAATGGGGACATGGGGTTGGGGGAAGGAAGCGAGGCTCAGATTCGCCTTTTATCAGACAGGTAAAGGAACAAAGGCCGGTGGCTGCAACAAAAACGAGAGTTGCCCCGCCAAGCTACGGCCTTTTTTCCTCAAAGCCTGGACTTTCATAAGCAAAAATGAAGTCATCATAGCCTTATCGCATTCGTTTTCAGAGAGAGAGAGAGAGAGAGAGAGAGAGAGAAAAGAAGAAGAAAAAGAATTAGAAAAGAAACAGGCAATGCATTAACTAACGAAGCAGACAATAATGATGGAGGAAAAGAGAGAGAGAGAGAGAGAGAGAGGGTTTCCCTGTGTGTTAGTGTGGAAAAGGGAGCAAGGGCTGTTGCAGATTGAACGTTGGGGAGTGAAATCATAGGCTCCGCTATCAATCAGAGGAGGGGGGCAACCACCCTACAGAAACCATCCACCTCCCTGAGAGCAAAGCCTCATTCTTAAACTAATGAGCCTTGTAACCCTAAAGCCTCACACCCGTCTCTGCTTTTATGTTGCTCCTGTTTTTTGCTCTATTCCACATTTATCCTTCTACTCGTCCTCACAAAACAAGGTGGAAGACAGAAACAAGAGTTGATAATCTAGTCATTTCACCATTTTCTATGGTACATAGGTTGAGTGTTAGAAGCTGTTCTTTTATTGACTTTTCTGCTTCAGAGTCAGATCTCGATTAAAGATTAGTCCTTTTTTTAGTATCAAAATCTCTTCTTTAAAGGAATTAATTTCTGGGAAATGGGGACAGTCAGGTTTGGTATTTGGTCATCAAAGTGAAGGGAAAAAATAACAAAATAACACCTCCACCATGTCTGCAAGAGACTGGTTTCCCATGAAGAAAGAACCCAAAGAAAGGTAGTTCTTAGCCCTCACTTTAACTTTTCCCTCTTCCCTGTAATGGCAAACTGTAACTTAAATTCAGGGTATTTTAATCACTTGGTATGCAACCTGATAGCACTGGACTATGTCTGTTAGGATCATTCAACATATTTAGAAAAGAAGAAGGAGAGAACATTTGATGACAAACAAAATTTGTCATTGCTAATTTACAAGGAGGAACAAGCTGAACAATCACCCCAATAGAGGGTGGAGGTCTCATCAATTGAATGCCAGCTGCATGAAACGTTGAAAAGTTTGGGGTTAACTCACAGAAGATCAAACAAAACTGAAAATTCTGGAAGCAGCTGAACACTGGCTTCAGAGAATTGTTGAATGTGCTCTCACCACTAGACATTTACGTGATCTCTTTGCCCCTTTCTTGGACTACAATTTTGTTCACGACCTTCCCTTCTGAGGTAACAAAGTAGGTCACCTGCCGTAGAATGATGGAATGATGCATCAGTATTCAGTCATTAGATTTAGAGCTTTGGCAAGAACAAAAGCAGGAAGAAGATTTAGTCATCCAATGCATGATTTCAACAATGGAAAATCAAACACCCATAAGTCTCTTCGACATAAACCAAATACAACTTACCATCTCCAGCAAGCTGAGTCTATGGAGAAGAAACCCATTACTCATTTCTCTGAGAAACAAAAAGACAATGAAATTCATTTCATGATGAATATTTGAAACAGAAAACAGAATGACATGAGTAATTTGAACAAACAACTCACTTTCCAACTAGGTATCTTCCATTAGCAGAAGGCGAATGAGAGTTCTCTTCAATCAAACCCGGGTTGCCAATATAAGCAACACTATCTTGAAGGGCATAGCTACAGCAACCTTGCCGGCTTAGGTAAACATTCTAGAAACAAGCACAAGATTAGGAGTCAGTCCAAGCATCAAGATTACTAGCAATGTTATGTTGAAATTATTGGCTTCCAATTGATGTAGATCCCAGAGTTGTTAACTTGGGAATTGGTGTTCACTCTAATACTGAACTTGAAGAAGACTAACCACACCAAACTTCATAAATATTTGGTGTAGAGGCTCATGAATCTGCTTTACAACCATTTGCTCCTCATTCTCTTCACATGCAACCAATGGGTGGAATCCAACAACCATGCGCCTGGTTTCATTAAAAATAAACAACAATCAATGCTAGGGTAGAAATCTTTTAGCATCCAATAATAATGAGCTGAAGCTTAAACAGGAAGCTAGAGGAAAAAAGCAGTACAAGTCATAAAAATATGGACCATTTCTCGGAGTTTTAACTTCTGCAGGCTGGAACAGTTGCCAAAGAGCCAAAAATTCAAGATTTCACTAACAACCACAGGAACTAACCAAATTGAAACTATATTTCAATTTAGATCTTTACAATTATCACTGGGATCAGAAACCTTGTCAATGCTTAAGTTAAGACCTATCCACAACCAGCCAGCAAGATGTAGACTCGTTTACCAGCTACTAATGGTGGTTTCTAGAGTCCTTGTCAGCCAATTTAACAAATTGTCCATCATGCCACTTGATGATCCCACAAGCATTGCATCCTTACAGTTTCAAAATGAAACCAAATTAGAGGAAAGAAGAAAGATTATTAATACAAATGCTTATGCTCACAAGAGAGACAAAAAATAAGTAAATTATTTCTTGACAGTACACTTCAATAAACAGAAACTGTATATTCTACAACTAGATACCAATGGAACACATTCAAATTTCTGAGAGTAGCAACATGACAGAGACATGCTCTAGTACGTAGGGGGCCTCTCACCATGGCAATATCCCTATAGCCATTCTGGAAGGTTTGAAACCAAGACGTATGATAAAAATGCTATGCATTAAACGGTAGCTTAAGCAACTAAGACTGACTACTATATAACTGCCATTCTAAGGGATGGTGCAGGAAGGCTTTTCTTTTTATTCTCATCATACTTGCAGTAAATAAAGAACCATTTTAAAAGCAGGATTTGACAAACAAATATCCACCTGCAATGAAGCAGTGTTCAAACTGACAATATCTAATGTTCTCCCGTTAGGTAATTTGATTTGCTCGAGAAAGCAACCAAGTCCTTCATGTTTAGAAACGCCAGTGGTGTACCTACAAGCATCATTATCCATCACTACTGACTGCTGCAACGCTGACAGATAAATGAAATCATCTTATTCGCTTCATAGAGCATTGGATTTCAAGACATTGCAGCAAAAATGACAACTTCTGCATATGATGCTAATGTATCCAAGTTAGAGACTTGATTGGCAAGAAGATATAATACCAGGGAACATTCAGTAATGGAGAGAGCCTGGTCACCTGCAAAAGATATTTCTAGAGTCATTACTAGCTATGGAAACCAAGCAAAAGACAATTTGTATATTATTTTTCGAAAAGGATTCTGGCTGTATGAATAGAATCTAGTTTATAAAGATTCAATCAGACAAGCAAGATAAAATGCAAAAGAGGTCTTACATTCTGAAGGAGTGGATCACCCTCCCCAAGCTCACTAATGTTCACCACAAACTTTACATCGTAAACTTTCGCCACATTCTCCATCTTTATCAAGAACAAAAACTTTAGTAAATACCAGGAGATACACACTACAAATATTCTGAGGCATCCTCTGACTCCGATTTGATGAAACCATATCAGATAAACAGAGCAAAGGTAGGAAACCAATGACAATGAGCTAACGACAATCAAGCAAATAGAATTGGAAATCAAGATGAAAGAATTAAAGGTAATCTTATTTTGCTAAAAGAAGAAAGCCTTAAACCCCACCCCACCGATTCAGTATCAGTATCCTGTTAGACTAATTCAGCTTAGTTACTGTAAAATTCTCTTTTCCATAGCCATATCAGCATATAATAAGCCAAAATATTCGTTTTGTGTTCATCCCATTACAACAATCATCAACTCCATTATCACAGGAAGTAAATGGCAGTGCTGGATTGTGTCGAAAGGAAAAGTTATGGATGGTAGAGTGACTTTCCAACATATCGAGTGAGATGGGAACGCATTTTTAGACATTCTAGACAAACACGGTGTTGATTGAGAGTCTATGTTCACAGCATGGTGGTCGCTTTCACTAGCAATTTTCTTTATGAATACTTTTACTTCACAATGTTTTGATATTGTAAAGCTTAGCCTAGGATTGTGGTAGTCTTCATACCAGATATGTTTTATTCGCTGGTGTTATGTATGCGTACACCAGTTATACTCTGGTTGTAGTTGGAACAGTTTACTGTACCCTTACTGCCTTGGGCAGCATTTTAATGAAAATACCCTACTAGCTGAGCGCAAAAAAAAAAAAAAGGAATAAACAATTAATCCATGCCCATACCCAAACAAAAAATAGACCAAGAAAAAGGTAAACGATATCAAAATTCTCCAAGGAATACAAAATTCGAAGTGACAACAAAATAAAAAAAAAAAAAAAGAAGAACGAAACAGAGAGACGGACCAGTTTGAGAAGATGGTTCTGTTCTTTAAGTGGTCTAAAGCCTCCTCTAACACTGATAAAGTACAGGTCAGGCGGCCTACTATTATCGTTGAAAACCAACTTTTGAGGCCGACCCAAGTTGATAACTATGTAGAGAGCAAAGCAAAGAGAGAGCTGAGTAGCCAAAGTACAAAGCCAAGATGTTGATCTCCTCATCTCTGGGCGCTGCAAATTTGTTTCCTTGATAGATCTATTACTTCTAAGCATGGGACCCCTGTCCGAGATCCAGACGGCCAATTTTGTTTCAGCTAGATTGTTGATAAGCCTCCACATGGTTACTTCACTGGCATGGGGACCATGTGGCTGTCCTAAGAAATGACAGTCAATTCTAGTTTCTTGTCTCGACAAGGAAACTTTAATTGACAGATAGATTCATTGTCCTTTCGGATCGGAAATAAGTTTGGGTTGGTATCATGTGGCATAATATTGGATCCTAAAAATTTCTTATTTTCTCTGTATTATGAACTTTAAAAACCTCAATGAAATTCCCTTCTTTTTTTATTTTTTTTGTTATTTCTAGTTTATAGCAATGGACTTCTTTCAAGGGATGGAATCGAAAAAGGAGGCTTGATTCTGCTAAACTAAAACCTGGCCAACTCGGATGCCATTTTTCCACTCACTACTTGGATGGGAGTCACTTGAGCATTCAACCCGACTACAATATGCGCCCTGCTTTTCTGTCCCTTGGCAAATTGTGTTGTAACCTTTTACGACTGGTTTATTAGGTAAGTGGTGGGACATTTAAGACAGGGTTTCTAGCCAACCATGTTATTCGGATTTGAATATTTGAGCCATCAATCACAAAATGTTAATTCTATTGATAAGTGGTGGGACATTTAAGACGGTTTCTAGCCAACCATGTTATTCGGATTTGAATATTTGAGCCATCAATCACAAAATGTTAATTCTATTGCTGAAAAAGATGAGTGGAAACAGCAGATTGCAGAGGAGAAACATAGCCAGAAAACAATCAGAGTTCAATCGGCGAGCAGGCCAGAAGCTGATTTCAGGCTATGAAATAGATTACAAGTTCAAAGATCATCGACCCACCACACACAAGGCTCTGTTAAAGCTGTCTCAATGAGGGTCTCCTCTCCTCATGAAGCATTGAGACCCATAGTTCAAACAAAATACTAAATCAGAAAGCTCAGTGCCCCCAAGCGCACCTGTGTTATGTCTTGGTCTCTGTGTAGACCTATATTTCTTGCTAGATTGTAGTGAATGGATGGCTTCCTAACTAGATCATTCCGGATTCCGTGTCGAGCAGTATCACTGTAGTAATGGCTTTAGCACAAGGAAAAGTTTCTCCAAGACATGAAGAATCACCAAATATGGGAAAAAATTGGCCAAACTTGTCAGGCAATAGGAATTTTAACTGGTCAGCTTATGCAATGTCTGAACGATCAAGCATATCTACCAAAGTCATCCTTCTAGGGAACCTTGGTGGCAACCTCAAATTCATGGCATCTTCAATCTGAATTGGGAGATGTGTCGCAACAATTACAATCCCACCCTTCTTTCTATGCTCTGCAATAATGTATTCCAGCAACCTCACCCCTTCATCATCTAATGCAACTGAAGGCTCATCTAGCAGCCAAATCGGCCGATCAATGGCAAGCAACCTTGCCAACTGGAGCCTCTTTCGCTGGCCCATTGAAAGCATTCTTGCCTTCTCTTTTGCTAATCTTCCAAGGCCCATCAACTCCAGAGCAGGCAATGACTTACCATGCTTACCTTCAAGAAGCTCAAACCACTGAACGTTGTCAAGGACGGTAAACTTTTCTTTTACAGCATCCTTGAGGGAAAGCCAATTTAGTTGAAGCTTGTACTGGTGGAATATGCCCGATTGAGTAATGTCATGACCGTTCCAAAGGATCTGACCAGCTGAAGGTCGGGAGAATCCTGCTAACATACGTAGGAAAGTGGTCTTGCCGGAGCCATTGCTGCCTGTCAACATAAGTGCTCCACCATCATGAACAGAGACATTCACATGTCGCAAGATTTGTTGGGCATTTCTCATGCAAGAGACATCATTGAGAAGGATTCTAGGGAGTGGGGGCTTCCGCAGAGACATTGAAGTTACAGAAGAAGAATATAATCCTCAGGTTTGGGATTCCGCAATAGAACTGCAAACTGTAGGACTTTGTGCAACAACACAAACCAATGAAGATTTCACAAGAGACTCTGGTTGAGAGCAACAGACAGAACTCCTAATACTGTGGAAAAGGAAAATAACTCATTTTAGATGCTAAATAAGAAATGCCATGGTTTTCAGAGTAAACGAAAACAGCCCAAAGTTTTCACTATCTTCAATGCTGAAACTGACTTATAAGATGAAAAACAAACCTCCCAGAATCTTGAATTTAGCGGGAAATAAGATCAAACACTTAAAATGCAATCCCCTTTCACCAGGTTGGGACTAGAGAACACAGGTTGAAACCCAAGGAAAACAAACAATTGCCTGAATTAAGAAAAGCATAACGAATCCAATCTGTCCTGTCAACAGACAATCACAGAAACAAAGATCCCGTTGATTAAAACTACGTATCGATTTAGACTGCTGAGAGTAATTTCGTAGAAGCCAATGCAAAATGAAACTTTTCTGCTCAATGCATAGCACTAACAGCAGCCAATCAAAGCAAAAAGAGAAAGAAAAATCACACTAGTGTTCATGTAAGTTAACTTAGGGGATTAAAGAGAGATGGAGGAAACTTGACCGGTTTCTCTCCTCTCAGAAAGATGTTCCGTGCCGCCGCGGTGCCTCACTTGCTGCTGCTAAACTAAGCCTTTAACACTTCAGCTGGGCTGGGCTTTCAAAACCCAAATTGGTTTCGGTCTTTTGCTTTGCTCGGATCATCATTCAGAAACCCACGTTTTCCAATCCACTCAACTTCACTTCATCTGCACTGGGCCAACTGAACCCAAATTTGTTTTTCCTTTAAACACCAATTGCTCGGTAAGATCAACAAGTTCATGTACGCTGACATTTGTGATTTTGTTTGTTGTTTACATTTGAATAGCAAGATTGAAGGAGCACTTCCATGGACAGGAAATGACTCAAAAATTATCCCTTTTTTTTATCATTTTATCTAACTTCTTTCTCAACTTACAAAAGCTTTCAACACAGTGTTTCGGGCTCCCCCCCAATTGCCAAAAATGAAATGTAAGGAGAACCAAAAAAATGAGAAAAGACAAGGAGAAGATTGATAAAACTCTAATCAAGCTAGGGTACACGAATAATTGTTACCAACCATTCGCCCATGCCACCTTCTCCAAGGTATGTTCTCTAGCCATTGAAAAGGTATCTCATATGCTCTCACCGGTTTGCACCAATTTTTCTTCAAACACCAAAGCTATCAGAATCGAAGGCTGTAAGCATCAAAACAAGTTCCTCATCTCTGATGCCGCCAACTTCTACACAAGGCCAGATGAAAGGACCCCGTTACCAAATTTTCTCTTCCTGTGTTTGACCTTCATCACCGCCCAGATTAACTAATCTGAGCAACACATCTCAATTTGACACTAAATGGAATATGTGCCACCATTGTGACTAGTTCAATGTTACATTCTCTGGTATATACACATAGGACTGAGAAAAAGTACATGGGAGCCTCATTGTTACAGTATCCTACGACTACACTGGGGTACATGTTCATCCCTGGAACCCTATAGTAGCCAAATCAAAATATATGGCATGACAGGACGTTTGGGGTTCGATAAATTGAATAATCAGGGCCGGTACACCTTGCAACACAGCAAAAATGTAGGTTACTTATTCCATTATTAGTTGCTGATCCACCTTCGTTTTCGGGCTGGCCTCTCCGGTTTAATCTCTGAATCTGCAGGAGTTTCATTGTTGGCCAAAGGTAGTGCCTCGCTCTCCATCTTCTTTATTGCCAGGGCATCTTTCTCACTAGGCATTGGAAGTTTGAACCTCTCACTTCGCTTCTTCAGCTTCTCAACAGTGTCAAGGTGCCGATCCTCCAATGGTCTTGTATCAGCATCCTTGATCTCTGGCTCACCAACACCTTTATCTTCAGATAAAGGATGATGGTTCTCAGCAGGCTCAACTGACTTACCAGGTTCATCTGGAATTTTGTTTGATTCTGAAGATCCCACATTATTAATCTTCTCAATCTCCTTGAACTTCAAGGAAGCTGTTGACTTGCTGTTGATACTGTAATCCCTCTCCTTATGGCTTGTCCAACGTTCCAATTTGGAGCGCCCTCGCTTCGACTCTTGCTGTTCATCATCTGAAGAAGCATCTTCTTTATGTTTTCTGGAAGAGTTATAGTGCACTGGGTTCTCGTTCTTCTCATCACTTTTCAAGCCCTAACCAACGCAAAAGGTAATAATAATAATGATAATAACAATTATTATTGTTATAACTATAATGACAACATTAATAGGTGAGTTCTGCAGCAGGACAACTCCAGCATTTAGTTAGGGAGGGATCACAAAGTTAACCTACCTAAATTACATTTGAATACACTATGTCTTTATGATGGCACAGGAAAAGTCCAAAAACCAAAGTGTTAACCCTAATTGTTAAGTTCAAAATTCAACTTTCCTTCGTGTTCAAATTAGATCATGTTATCTGAAATCAAGCTTATTGTCAATGATAACTCATTGTTTTCTTTTAGAATTACAACCTTTACCTATTAAAATGAAAGGTTAAAATAAGAGTAATTTTGTCCACACGGTCAAAGAAGTTTTAACAAGGAATCCTTCCCCTCCAAATCCCCCCGATTTGGAGTGCTTAAAAAAAATAAAAAATTGAAAGGTCTTCCCCCATCCCCTCCTCTCAATCCAAACAAAGCCTTAATGTCAAACAAATAACAATACAAAATTCATACCCAAACAGCAGGACTTTAAAGAATTCACTTTGCAAGCCTCAAAAATAATCGAGATCATGACAGCCAAATATTAAGGTAAAAAAGAAGTTACTAATAAAATAAATAGAAATTCATGTCCAACAGTGGCAGGCTTTATAAACAGCAGTAAATTATTCATAGCATCCAAATCACACCAAGTTTGATAGGAGATAATGAGTTTGTTACTAAACATTGCTTCCTGAAACTTTTTCCCAAACTGATTGAATGATCATAGAAATTGAGATGGCTGGTGTGTTCTTGCTGGAGCATTTTTAAAAAAAAATTGAAAAGACAATAACTTATGACCAGGATGATAAGATTGATCTCATCATGAGACTAACACCCTCAGAATACCCTCAGCACATACTTAAGACGAGAAAAAAAAAAATAACTGCACCCATGATAGTTATCTACCCTAACAATAAATCCTATCTGCTTGGCAATAAGATTCATTAATTAGGTGCTTTTAAATTACTCTCACTCTTCAAGTAAATGTCTGGACCCGAGAATTCTGCTAGTAGCCACACACAGTCCTCTAAACTGTTAAAATATATATATTGACAAAAGAAGATATTTCAATCAAAGACATCAATGATCAAGTAATTAAAACCAGAATCTCTAATTTTGAAGAAACCGCATCAACTTTCAATAAAAAATTTATCTTATATATAAGTATGCACATGTATTGGCTTGTTTCCAGAAAATTGCTGTGGTATTTTTCTCCTTATTACCAAAGAAACATTATGTCCTTGAGTCTATGAAACATACCGTTTCATTGTTCTGACCACTTAAATCTTCTTGATTTCTCTTGGCAGAACCCAAAGTGATTGGATCTCCACCTTCAGATTCTCTATCCTTCCTAGTGTTTTCTTTATGTTTCTTCTCCCCTCTTTGGCTATCTGAAGCATTGGCAGCATGGTCATTCCGAGTGCTTGACCTTTCCTGCCTGGATCTTCTCTCCTCATTACCAAATTGGTGTCCGCGTGCATAAGAATCTTCACGCCCTCTATGGCGTGAGAAACTTTCATCATCATTTCGTTCCCTTCTCTTCACCTGTTCACTGTGACGTACTGTCTCTTTGTGTTGGTATTCTTTTTCAGAACCTTTATATTCATCCTTTGCCCTGGAATGGGCAACCCATGCCTTGTCTTCTGAACCACGGCCACTCCTCACAGTACCTCGTACTTCTTCTCTCTCCCGTTTTGATAAACTTTCGTCATGGGATTGCTTTAGCCTATGCCATTCATCCCTCTCCCGCTGCCTCTCAACCCTCTCTCTGTGCAACCAGACCTCATCTTTATGCCGAACTGAATGATGTTCATCAAAATTGTCTCTAATTCTTGGCCGCTCATTTCTCTTACGCTGGTCTATAATTTCATCCCTTTCTCGCTTCCTGCGACTGCTGCTGGATTCTCTGTGACCATGTAAGATTTCCTCTTTGTCTGCATGGTCCCTTCTCAGATATTCCTCATCTTTCCTTCTTTTGCTTTGGTAATCATCTGCCGCTTCATACCTACTCTTCAAATTATCATCTCTTTCCCTATGTCTTGCACTGACATCCTTATCATGATGAACTTTAAAACTGCCATTATCCAACTGTTTTCTAGAATGCGGATAATCATCTTTGTCACTCCTCTCACTTTCTCGAACCTTAGCCCTGTTCCTAGAACCCATTTCATCATCACGCTCTCTCTTCCTTAAGTCCTCAGTTCTACTTTTTCTATTGTAAAGATCATCTTCTCTCCGTTGCCAAGTACCATCAGGGTTGTCACGCTCCCTTCGCCTATCAAAACCCTCTGCTTTAGTGTGCAAATTATGTGACAAGCTAGTATCAAAGTCCCTAGGAGGATAAGAATCCTCCCCTGGTTTACCAACCATGCGATTTCTTTCAATATCATGTCTCCCTTCTCGATCTTTTCTCCGGAAATTCTGATCATGTTCATCAAGATGCTTCTTGACAATTCCCATGCGGGATGAACGTCCACCTTGAACAACTTCCTCTTCAGCACCATCTCGCCACTTCTGATAATCTCTGCTGCTGCCAGATCTTGCTTTGCTGTTTTCACTACTTCTTGCGGCCCTAGAATCCTCATCATCATCAAGTTCTTGAAGCATCCGTTGCTCCCCATGAGAACTTCTTTTTTCATTTTTCATGGGATTAGGAGAATTCTCAACTTCATGGGTCTCATTTATCTGTTCATCCTTTTCTGTAATAGGGTTTCCATCGGCCGGCTCAAGCTCATCATCAACATCATCCTTATGCTCCACACTTATCTCCCTGGCATCTCTAACTAGGACAGGAGATTTACCATCCATGCTTTCAACAGATTCTTCCTTCTGGGCATCACTGAACTTCTCACGTTTACCTTGAATAGGTGTCATGCGAGGGGATCTCTCGTGTGCTCTTCCCTGTTGATGCCTGTTTGAAGGAGAGGGTTAGTGGCATTTATACGTGCAGTTGTAATATTACCACCACAATAATGAACTAAAACATTAAGCTATCGGAAACCCTAAAATAACCAAAGACAATTAAGTAAGAAATCCTAGATCGAAGTCACAACCAGCCTTTCAAATCAAATTGTATCTCTCACTATCAAATTATGAAATGATCATGAAGGCTGGAATTCATTATGAGCTCAGCAAAAGATACAAAATAAATAATGATAACAACGACAGGAGTTCATTTCCCTTCACAGCCAAACATTCAAGAAAGTAATCCATCTGCTTAAAGAAAACAAACTATGATGAAAACTGCTACAGTTGAATAAGTTACGAAAGGCAAAAGCATCTCTATCAATTAGACCTATATGGTACAAGAAATAAAGAACTGCTACCAACTTCATCAATTTTCACGACAGCCATTTTGGTTCACATTTATTTTCTCTGCTTCAGATAAACAGGAAACTAACACATCATCACTTCATTTTTGATGACTCCCGAAATCTGTAAAGTTCCTTCACGCTTCTCAAGGCACATGAATTTTTAACATAGCAACTAATACATCTCTTTCACAATAAATTGTTTCTTCCAGAAAATGAATTATCAATT